TTGATGTAGGACTAGTAGGTACATCATAAACAACGCTGTCTTTTTAGACTGCAGATATGCATTTAGATTGTTTTGTGCTTGTATGGGTAAGCCTGCAGTTATTCTTAGTGAACAATATTCTCAATTAATTTGATCCACATTTGGAGATGTTTGCAAGTGCAACAGTAGCTCATTATTCCCAAAACAACTTCAAAAGACACCAGCTCCAGTACTTCATAGTGAACAGAACTCAGAGAAAATACATATCACATGTGGCGTTCCACAAGGTTCTATTTTGGCTCCGGTACTGTTCAGTTTATATTTGTTACCCCCTGTCAGCGTTATCAGAAAGCACAGCATTTATTTTCACTGCTACGCAGACGATACACAACTTAAAATGTCTGTGTCACCAGAGGATTTTAGCTCCACAGATAAATTATTAGACTGTATTAGTGATTTAAATACTTGGATGGCTCACAACTTCCTCCAGCTAAATCAAGACTAGACCGAGGTACTTATTGTTGGAGCCAAAGCACAGAGAGAATCTAGCTGCACATTTTAATTCACGGGCAATAAAGATAAAACACCAGGTAAAAAACCTAGGTGTTATTTTAGATTCTGAACAAAATGTAGATTCACACATTAGGAATGTGACCAAAATTGCTTTTTACCACCTGAGGAACATTGCCAAGGTGCGGCCGTTTCTCTCGCAGGCTGATACAGAGAGACTCATCCATACTTTTATTACAAGCAGGCTTGACTAGTGTAATGTTCTCCTGTCTGGTCTACCCAAGAAAGCCATTGGTCAACTGCAAAACATACAGAATGTTGCAGCACGGGTACTGACCAAGACCAGACGGAGAGCACACATTACACCGGTTTTAAGCTCTCTGCACTGGCTGCCTGTGAGTTATATAATTAATTTTAAGATTCTTCTATTGGATTTTAAATCAATCCACGATTGTGCACCCCAAAACATGTCAGACATTTAAAGTTATGTACCCAGTAGGTCCCTCAGGTCCTCTGGCACAGGCCTTTTAACTATCCCAAAGCCTAGGACCAAGAGGCATGGAGAGGCAGCCTTTAGTTATTATGCCCCCAGCCTGTGGAATAGCCTGCCAGAGAACCTGAGGGGGGGAGGGGGGCGAAACTGTGGACATATTTAAAATAGATCTTAAAACACACCTTTTTAACTTTGCTTTTCCTCAGGGTGCTTTTTAGTCGCTCAGTTTGTGTCATTCTTTTGTTTTCTATCTTATGTTCATTGTGTAGTAAATATTTCAGCTTTTATTTTCATTGTTTTTTCATAGTTTTTTCCTGTAAAGCATGTTGCGTTGCATTCCGTGTCTGAAATGTGCTGAATAAATAAAGCTTGATTTGATTTGATGATCAGTGACTTCTGATAGGATTTGTTTTGTGGATTTTGGTGAAACAAAAGATGATTATATACTTCTACATCTCCCAAATGCTCCCAAACAGCAATTAGAGCCCATCAAATCACCTTGGGGGAATTCACATAGAACGCTATAGAATTTCCACTTCTTATCCAAGAGACTAATTTATTTCTTTGCCATGTGTGTCGAGAGGGATTCGGGAAAGTGTTGTTGATGCTTTTCTATGATTAATGGGATGTGGGATATAGCCGAGGAGGACTGCGTGTGTTAACATATTTGGACAGTTAACTGACTTTGCAATAGGCAAGCCAGAGCATGTCCACAGGGATGACAGTATGGCAATTATCACTCGTTCTCAACAAGCTTGTCTGGACCTGCACCTATGGTCCACTGGACTGGCTGACTGTATAGAGTTCTGTCTGTCTGTATTCTTCATCCTCTTCCTCTACACTCGTCCATCTCCTAGCATACACATCCTCCTCTTCCTTTTAATCCTCCTCAACTTCCTCTTCCTCCTCCTCCTCTACACTTGTCAATCTCCTAGACCAATATTTGCCCCGCTTTCTCTCCTATACTTTTCTCATTCTATCCTCTCTTGCACTTTTCATCTTCCTTTCTCACTCAACACCTTTCTTAACTCGTTCCTCCATCCATCCATTCATCCATCCGTCCATCCATCCCAGCATTGGGCTTGCTCGTCACGCCCTTGTCTGTGGAACGCGCTCTCCAGGAGATGTGATATGGGAGTTCCGTTCCTTTCAATAAAACAATGATGAATAAGTAGAATAAGAGAAGGGAGATGTCTCAGTGGACAAGTCCCGACGTCTCTCTCTCAGCTGCATACAGAGACAGAGAGAGAGTGATTTATTGCTCTGCTATGCTCTCAGCTGTGACTGAACCTATCAAACATATCAGCAACTGCCCAGCACATGTAACTCATATGATGCTGATTGAGTCATATGGGCATCATTTTGTTCCGGTGTGGTTCCCATTACTCAGTATTGTAGATAGACCTTGGTGCTGGTGGCAACAACAGGGTTGTGAGTTTGATTCCTACATGGGCCACATATGTGTTACTTTGGATACAAGCATTAGCTGGAGTAGGCCATATCAATTTGTGTGGGTCGAACCCCAACTTGAGACATCCATGCACAGAATATTTGCATGTACCTTGCACATCAATCAGAAATGTGTGGTAACATTTGAAGTACAGTACACTTATCTCAGGTTAAGATTCAACCCTTGTTAAGTGTCACTAAATCATCAATATCTGTTAGAATCAGATTTGGGGATGCTGGTTAGCAAGGGTCGTTTTGCGGGTTCAGAGAATAGTGACCTTTGGACTGTATCCGAGGGATCTGTTAATGCTACTCAGCTCAATCATTGAAAAAAATCCCTGAATCTGTGAAAACGTCATCAGGGTTTTACTGCGTCAAATTATTTATTCAAAGTATGGCTGATCTGTCTGAACTTGCAGGCTAAGAATGGGAATAGGTGATTTTGTGCACAAATATTTAGCTTCCGCTTTTGCAATACGTCTCAAGTCTATGCTATGGGTGGGGTGGGCTGGGATAAGGGGTTGGAGTGAGGTGGGGTGAGTTGTGCAGTGTTGCAGGAGGCTTAGTAACGGTATCTCAAAATGGAATTCAGACAGAGACTTGTCTTGGAATTGACTTTCCCTTCTCCACCCCACCCCACCCCCCCAAAGCTGTCTGTTGGATGCGCCCTCATCCCGTGGGGAATTTTTGACATTGAAAGGCAGGAACCCACAGAACAAAATATAATAGTCTACAAAGATGATGTATTTCCCCCACATTTTATGATGATGGTGTATAATTAAAATGATTGAAAATAGTGGACTTTTCCATAATTTTCAACATGGCCTAAAAATAGAATGAAATGATCAGTGATTAATTCCACTGAGTATGAACAGCATGTTTGAATGCTATTGTAGCATCAATGACTAAAGCATATGTATCTCTGCATTGAAAACAGTACATGTTCATCTCTATACCAGGGCTTTTGGGCACATTGTTACATCTGCATTGAGATTCATTGTAGCAAGTCCACACAAAACAAAACGGTCTTTCCTGGAAGGTTTGATGTCCTCAGGTGGATTTTTGGGTTTTCTTGATAGTGTTGGGGCATGTTGAAGCTTGTCCGGTAAGAACCCCTCCCCTCCCTCCCCATAAGATTGGATGTATTTGAACCTCCTTTTTAGTAGGATGACTGCCAGCATCGGTAATGGCAGATATGCCCGTCAAAGAGTACAAAGGGCTCTTTTCACTTGCATGATGCACTTCAGTTAGATATCCACACATTTGTACTGAATAAATGTTTCAAGTCCCGCTGAATGCAGACTCGCAGTATACATCATTGCCTGTCTATGATAGCATCTTAGCTGAGTATCTCCAATGTAGTTGGTGCTTTCCTCAGTATTTTGCTTCAATTGAGCAAGCTTGTGATATTGAATATTCCGTTTGGAGTTTGAATAGGCCTACAGTTATGATTTGATTGTATTATGTTTGCAGGCCCTACTAGACTCCTACTAACTCTTCCATTGTACTTTTTCACTCACTCACACACACACACACACACACATACTTGGCTTTTTGAACTGACATGCTTCCCTCCAGGAATTATTACTAACTTTACTACAACACCTGCAAGCCCAGCCTGGTAGATAATAATCATGTTCATTCCAGCAACCGAATAGTCCTTATATTTATGACATGATGGAACCAATTTTACTGCATATTTTATAGCCTTCAAAAAGCCCTAATGTATTTTGCCTCATGTTTCAAATCACTCAATTTGTTCTACAGTCCTACTAATCTGACATGTTAACTGTGTTCATAACCTTCCATCTCATACCCTAGTAATACTACCACTCAGCACTTTTGTAAGAGAGAGTCAATTTTTTTTAGACATCACGTCTTATCACCAATAAATACACTAAACAAGAATGTAAACGCAACATGCAACAATTTCAAAGATTTTACTGAGTTACAGTTCATATAACGAAATCAGTCAACTGAAATAAATTAATTATGCCCTAATCTATGGATTTCACATGACTGGGAATACAGAGGTAGGGGCGTGGATCAGAAAACCAATCAGTATCTGGTGTGACCACCATTTGCCTCAGGCCGCGCGACACATCTCCTTTGCATAGAGTTGATCAGGCTGTCGATTGTGGTCTGTGGAATGTTGTCCGGCTGCTCTTCAATGGCTGTGTGAAGTTGCTGGTATTGGCGGGAACTGCAACACGCTGTCGTACACGTCGATCCAGAGCATCCTAAACATGCTCAATGGGTGACATGTCTGGTTAGTATTCAGGCCATAGAAGAACTGAGACATTTCCAGCTTCCAGGAATTGTGTACAGATCCTTGCAACATGGGGCTGTGCATTATCATGCTGAAGCATGCTAAGACATTATAAAGGCTCATACTTGCTCATAAGTTATAACGTAAAAAATTATACCTGCAGGCTTTTAGTAAAGTGTTCCCAAAAATTATTAACAAACAAAGTGCCTGGATGAGATGTTTGATAGGTAAAAAAAAAAATTACACCACAACGGTGACTTGTCAAGAATAACATCCCCCTTCTGTTTTGCCCCTCCTCAGTACTCCCCGCTGCTGAAGAAGCTCTACTGTCAGATCGCCAAGACCTGTCCAATCCAGATCAAGCTTTCCTCGGCCCCGCCACACGCCAGTGTCATCCGTGCCATGCCTGTCTACAAGAAAGCGGAGCATGTCACCGAGGTAGTCAAACGCTGCCCCAACCACGAGCTGGGACGGGACTTCAATGACAGTAAGCCACCACGCCACCTTGATAGGCATATCTGTTTGTGTCATCGACCCGTATCCCACAACAGATTTGACTCACAACAGTGCTTGTATGATGTGGTTGTTGGACTTCCTTAAATGCACTTATGGTATACCTCTCTCAAAAGAGTGTCTGCTATATGACAGAAATGTATGAAAATTCAACTGAAATGGCATTTCAATAGGACCTCTGGTCCAAAGAGACTGCTGCAGTGTAGTTTAGGTTTACTGTAAAAATTCAAGGAAGTTTAAATGGATGGAGAGGTTGATTAATTGATTGATTAATTAATTGACCTGTACCCCCCCCCCCCCCCCATCACCCAGGCCAAGTGGCCCCAGCCAGTCATCTGATCAGGGTGGAGGGAAACAACCTGTCCCAGTACGTGGACGACCCCGTCACGGGCAGGCAGAGTGTCATGTTGCCCTACGAGAACCCACAGGTGAGTAGCTCCCCTCAGCTAGGACCCCAACAGAACGCCCACACTCACACAATACAGTAGAACATGTGTAGGCAACCCTGGTGCTGAACTCTGTAGTGCCGTAGCCACTACTGGATTTTGTCCCAACCAAGCAACACATCCGGTTCTACCAATCACCTCACCAACAGTGATTGGTTAAATTCATCACACCTGGTCTCCCAGGTCTTAAAACAGAAATGTTCCATTAAAAACATAATTTGTCTGTATAGCACTCCAGGGCCAGGTTTGCCTACCCCTGCAATAGAACATGGTGGTTGGTTAACATTTAAAATCACCTAGAAAATAACAACACAGTCTTCATATTAATTGGTTATTTAGATGTAGTATACCTATTTAGAACTTTATATTTTAGTTGCCCATGATTTTGATTGATATTTTCAAAAGAATAGGTCCCATGCCTGACTTTTGCTATGTAACATTATATGGCAACACTGCCATCTAAAGGTAATAAAATATACAGCTTATGTTTTGTCCGTTACATTCAGTCTGATGCGTTAGGAGGGCTGGTTTCACATAAGCAAAGCCCAGGCCTGATAAAGGTTGAGTCTTTCAATCTATTAACTTTGCTTTAATAAATGGGATCTTCAGTGTGTCATCATGGGGGGTGCCTTGGCTATCACACTGCCTGTGATTGGACAGCTGGCTAATGTTTGACAGGCCAACGGACAGTAAAGGTCTCTCTCTCTGATAGGTGGGGACAGAGTTCACCACCATCCTCTACAACTTCATGTGCAACAGCAGCTGTGTGGGAGGGATGAACAGGAGACCCATCCTCATCATCATCACCCTAGAGACACGCGAGTAAGTCCATGACATTGTGTGTGTGTGTGGGTGTGTGGGTGTGTGTGTGTGTGTGTGTGTGTGTGTGTGTGTGTGTGTGTGTGTGTGTGTGTGTGTGTGTGTGTGTGTGTGTGTGTGCGTGCGTGCGTGCGTGCGTGCGTGCGTGCGTGCGTGCGTGCGTGCGTGCGTGCGTGCGTGCGTGCGTGCATGGGTGCGTGCGTGCGTGCGTACGTGTGTGTGTCTGTCATAACAGCTCACAGCTGATTTGAACTGCCTTTATACACACCTGTCTCACGATAAACATGCTATAAGCATTCATAATAGCCCGTGGCTCCTTATAAAAATATATACATCCATAAAAATCAAGAATGTATTTCAAATGCGTTACTAAACATGTGGCTCATATGAAAAGTGTAACAAAATATTTTGATAACACTTTAATAAGCGCATACAGTTATAATGTAGGATGTGTTACCTGTTGTAAGCATATGAGGCCTTTCAATGCCTTATAAATGAACGTATGATACGTTATGCCTTTCTTTGTTGCAATTAGTGGTCAGGTGCTGGGACGAAGGTCGTTTGAAGGGCGGATATGCGCCTGTCCGGGGCGAGATCGCAAGGCAGACGAAGACCACTTCAGGGAGCAGCAGACCATGAGCGACAACATGTCCAAGAACGACAACAACGCTAACAAGCGCAGTGAGTCGCCCTTCTATCTCTCTCTACACCTTTACAAAATGTTTGGTTATTTTTATTGGGGTGTGTCTGAAATGGCACCTTATTCCCTATATAGTGCACCACTTTTGACCAGAGCCTTCACATACATACAGTGGGGAGAACAAGTATTTGATACACTGCCGATTTTGCAGGTTTTCCTACTTACAAAGCATGTAGAGGTCTGTAATTTTTATCATAGGTACACTTCAACTGTGAGAGACGGAATCTAAAACAAAAATCCAGAAAATCACATTGTATGATTTTTAAGTAATTAATTTGCATTTTATTGCATAACATAAGTATTTGATACATCAGAAAAGCAGAACATAATATATTTGGTACAGAAACCTTTGTTTGCAATTACAGAGATCATACGTTTCCTGTAGGTCTTGACCAGGTGTGCACACACTGCAGCAGGGATTTTGGCCCACTCCTCCATACAGACCTTCTCCAGATCCTTCTGGTTTCGGGGCTGTCGATGGGCAATACGGACTTTCAGCTCCCTCCAAAGATTTTCTATTGGGTTCAGGTCTGGAGACTGGCTAGGCCACTCCAGGACCTTGAGATGCTTCTTACGGAGCCACTCCTTAGTTGCCCTGGCTGTGTGTTTCGGGTCGTTGTCATGCTGGAAGAACCAGCCACGACCCATCTTCAATGCTCTTACTGAGGGAAGGAGGTTGTTGGCCAAGATCTCGCGATACATGGCCCCATCCATCCTCCCCTCAATACGGTGCAGTCGTCCTGTCCCCTTTGCAGAAAAGCATCCCCAAAGAATGATGTTTCCACCTCCATGTTTCACGGTTGGGATGGTGTTCTTGGGGTTGTACTCATCCTTCTTCTTCCTCCAAACACGGCAAGTGGAGTTTAGACCAAAAAGCTATATTTTTGTCTCATCAGACCACATGACCTTCTCCCATTCCTCCTCTGGATCATCCAGATGGTCATTGGCAAACTTCAGACGGGCCTGGACATGCGCTGGCTTGAGCAGGGGGAACTTACGTGCGCTGCAGGATTTTAATCCATGACGGCGTAGTGTGTTACTAATGGTTTTCTTTGAGACTGTGGTCCCAGCTCTCTTCAGGTCATTGACCAGGTCCTGCCGTGTAGTTCTGGGCTGATCCCTCACCTTCCTCATGATCATTGATGCCCCATGAGGTGAGATCTTGCATGGAGCCCCAGACCAAGGGTGATTGACCGTCATCTTGAACTTCTTCCATTTTCTAATAATTACGCCAACAGTTGTTGCCTTCTCACCAAGCTGCTTGCCTATTGTCCTGTAGCCCATCCCAGCCTTGTGCAGGTCTACAATTTTATCCCTGATGTCCTTACACAGCTCTCTGGTCTTGGCCATTGTGGAGAGGTTGGAGTCTGTTTGATTGAGTGTGTGGACAGGTGTCTTTTATACAGGTAACGAGTTCAAACAGGTGCAGTTAATACAGGTAATGAGTGGAGAACAGGAGGGCTTCTTAAAGAAAAACTAACAGGTCTGTGAGAGCCGGAATTCTTACTGGTTGGTAGGTGATCAAATAGTTATGTTATGCAATAAAATGCAAATTAATTACTTAAAAATCATACAATGTGATTTTCTGAATTTTTGTTTTAGATTCCGTCTCTCACAGTTTAATTGTACCTATGATAAAAATTACAGACCTCTACATGCTTTGTAAGTAGGAAAACCTGCAAAATCGGCAGTGTATGAAATACTTGTTCTCCCCACTGTATAGTGACACAGATCACAATGCAAACATATACACCAGTGCAATATAAATGACACAATAGTTTGAGCATATTGATATTGGTCAAGTCTTTGTAAAAATCCTATTGCTAATTTTCATGATATTCAATAATTGTTTGTACTCCCAACATTTAGCATTCAAACAGACCCCTCCAAACATTCCCAGTCCAGGCATGAAGAGACGGCGGCATGGTGAAGAAGAGATCTACTATATGCCTGTAAGATATATAACTACTATACATATATATATATATATATACAGTACCAGTCAAAAGTTTGGACACACCTCCTCATTCCAGGGTTTTTCTTTATGTTTACTATTTTCTACATTGTAGAATAATAGTGAAGACATCAGAACTAGGAAATAACACATATGGAATCATGTAGTAAACAGAAAAGGGTTAAACAAATCAAAATACATTTTATATTTGAGATTCTTCAAAGTAGCCACCCTTTGCCTTGATGACAGCTTTGCACACTTGGCATTCTCTCAACCAGCTTCATGAGGTAATCACCTGGAATGCAATTCAATTAACAGGTGTGCCTTTCTTTCCTTCTTAATGCGTTTGAGCCAATCAGTTGTGTTGTGACAAGGTAGGGGTGGTATACAGAAGATAGCCCTATTTGGTAAAAGACCAAGTGCATATTATGGCAAGAACAATTCAAATAAGCAAAGAGAAACAACAGTCCATCATTACTTTAAGACATGAAGGTCAGTCAATACGTAACATTTCTGTCACGGATTCTGCCGAGGCTGCTCCTCCTCCTTGCTCGGGCAGGCTTCGGCGTTCGTCGTCCCCGGAGTACTAGCTACTGCCGATCGATGTTTTCGGTGTTTGTCTTGTGTTGTCTAGTTTATACACCTGTTGCTTATTAGTGTTGATTGTGTAGCATATAAGTTCCTTTGTTTTACGTTTGGCCTTTGTGTGTTATTGTGTATTGTCTCGTTGATGTTCGGCATAGCTATTTCGCCTCATTACGCACAGGGTGTTTTTCCCCTCCAGTGTTTTGGAGACTTTTGTTTGTGCTTTTGCATTCAGTAAAGTAGTCATCCTGATTATCTGTGTCCTGCGTCTGACTTCACTTGCCGCGTACACATCACCATTTTGACAATTTCAAGAACTTTGAAAGTTTCTTCAAGTGCAGTCGCAAAAACCATCAAGCGCTATGATAAAACTGTCTCTCATGCGGACCGCCACAGGAAAGGAAGACCCAGAGTTACTTCTGCTGCAGAGGATAAGTTCATTAGAGGTAACTGCACCTCAGATTGCAGCCCAAGTAAATGCTTCACAGAGTTCAAGTAACAGACACATCTCAACATCAACTGTTCAGAGGAGACTGTGTGAATCAGGCTTTCATGGTCGAATTGCTGCAAAGAAACCACTACCAAAGGACACCAATAATAAGAAGAGAATTGCTTGGGCCAAGAAACACAAGCAATGGACATTAGACCAGTGGAACTCTGTCCTTTGGTCTGATGAATCCAAATGTGAGATTTTTGGTTCCAACCGTTGTGTCTTTGTGAGACGCAGAGTAGGTGAACGGATGATCTCTGCATGTGTGGTTCCCACCGTGAAGCATGGAGGGGGAGGTGTGATGGTGTGGGGGTGCTTTGCTGTAGCTCAGCTGGTAGAGCACAGCGCTTGTAACGCCAGAGTAGTGGGTTCGATCCCCAGGACAGAAAAATGTATGCAGGCTTTTGGATAAAAGCGTCTGCTAAATGGCATATTATTATTATATTACTGTCTGTGATTTATTTAGAATTCAAGGCACACTTAACCAGCATGGCTACCACAGCATTCTGCAGCGATACGCCATCGCATCTGATTTGCGCTTAGTGGGACTATCATTTGTTTTTCAACAGGACAATGACCAAAAACACACCTCCAGGCTGTGTAAGGGCTATTTGACCAAGAAGGAGAGTGATGGAGTGCGGCATCAGATGACCTGGACTCCACAATCACCCGACCTCAACCCAATTGAGATGGTTTGGGATGAGTTGGACTGCAGAGTGAAGGAAAATCAGCCAACAAGTGCTCAGCATATGTGGGAACCCCTTCAAGATTGTTGGAAAAGTATTCCTCATGAAGCTGGTTGAGAGAATGCCAAGAGTGTGCAAAGCTGTCATCAAGGCAAAGGGTGGCTACTTTGAAGAATCTCAAATATAAAATATATTTTGATTTGTTTAACACTTTTTTGGTTACTACATGATTCCATGTGTTATTTCATTGTTTTTTTTATCTTCACTATTATTCTACAATGTAGAAAATAGTAAAAATAAAAAATAAACCTTGAATGTGGAGGTGTGTCCAAACTTTTGACTGGTACTGTATACTGTATATCATATAACTACTATATATAATACAACTATTATATATACTGTCTCCTGAGTGGCGCAGTGGTCTAAGTCACTGCATCGCAGTGCTAACTGTGCCACTAGAGATCCTGGTTCGAATCCAGGCTCTGTCGCAGCCGGCCGCGACCAGGAGACTCATGGGCGGCGCACAATTGGCCCAGCGTCGTCCGGGGTAAGGGAGGGAATGCCGGCAGGGGATGTAGCTCAGTTGATAGAGCATGGCGTTTGCAACGCCAGGGTTGTGGGTTCGATTCCCACGGGGGGCCAGTATAAAAAAAAAAAAATGTATTCACTAACTGTAAGTCGCTCTGGATAAGAGCGTCTGCTAAATGAATAAAATGTAAATGTAAAATGTACTGTATCATATAACTACTGTATATATATTATATAACTACAGTGCCTTCAGAAAGTATTCATACCCCTTGACTTATTCCACATTGTGTTTTGTTACAGCCTGAATTTAAATTGATTGAATTGTGGTGCGTTTTCTCACATATCTACACACAATACCCCAAAATGACAAAGTGAAAACATGTTATTAGAAATGTTTGCACATTTATTGAAATTTAAATACAGAAATATCTCATTTACATAAGTATTCACACCCCTGAGTCAATACTTTGTAGAAGCACCTTTGGCAGCGATTACAGCTGTGAGTCTTTCTGGGTAAGTCTCTAAGAGCTTTCCACACCTGGATTGTGATTGCAACATTTGCCCATTATTCTTTTCAAAATGTGTAAAGCTCTGTCAAATTGGTTGTTGATCATTGCTAGACAACCATTTTCCGGTCTTTCCATAGATTTTCAAGTAGATTTAAGTCAAAACTGTAACTTGGCCATTCAGGATCATTCACTGTCTTCTTGGTAAGCAACTCCAGTGTAGATTTGGCCTTGTGTTTTAGGTTACTATCCTGCTGAAAGGTGAATTCATCTCCCAGTGTCTGGTGGAAAGCAGACTGAACCAGGTTTTCCTCTAGGATTTGCCTGTGCTTAGCTCCATTCTGGGGGGGTTTTATCCTGAAAAAGTCCTTGACGATTACAAGCATACCCATAACATGATGCAGCCACCACTATGCTTGAAAATATGGAGAGTGGTACTGAGTAATGTGTTGTGTTGGATTTCCCCAAACATAACACTTTGTATTCAGGACAACAAGTTAATTGCTTTGCCACATTTTTTTGCAGTATTACTTTAGTGCCTTGTTGCAAACAGGATGCATGTTTTGGAATATTTGTATTCTGTACATGCTTATTTCTTTTCCCTCTGTCATGTAGGTTAGTATTGTGGAGTAACTACAATGTTGTTACTCCATCCTCAGTTTTCTCCTATCACAGCCATTAGACTGTAACTGTTTTAAAGTCATAATTTGCCTCATAGTGAAATCCCTGAGCGGTTTCCTTCCTCTCCGGCAACTGAGTTAGGGAGGACGCCTGTATCTTTGTAGTGACTGGGTGTATTGATACACCATCCAAAGTGTAATTAATAACTTCACCATGCTCAACTAGCTATTCAATGTCTGTTTGTTTTTTTACCCATTTACCAATAGATGCCCTTATTTTCGAGGCATTGGAAAACTTCCCAGGTCTTTGTGGTAGAATCTGTGTTTGAATTCACTGCTCGACCTCAGGGACCTTACAGATAATTGAATGTGTGGGGTACATGACATGAGGTAGTCATAAAAAAAATCATGTTAAACACTATTATTGCACACTGAGTGAGTCCATGCAACTTATTATGTGACTTGTTAAGCACATTTTTATTCCTGAACTTATTTAGGCTTGCTATAACAAAGGGATTGAATATTTATTGACTCAAGAAATTTCAGCTTTTATTTAAAAAAAATCCATTTTAGAATAGGGCTGTAACATAACAAAATGTAGAAAAAGTCAAGGAGTGTGAATATATTCTGAAGGCGCTGTATATCATATACAGTGCCTTCGGAAGGTATTCAGACCCCTTAACTTTTTCCACATTCTGTTACGTTACAGCCTTATTCTAAAATGGATTCAAAAATAATAATAATCAGCAACCTACACATAATACCCCATAATGACAAAGCGAAAATAGGTTTTTAGAAACTTTTGCAAATGTATTAAATATAAAAAACAGAAATACCTCATTTACATAAGTATTCAGACCCTATGCTATGAGACTCGAAAAATTGAGCTAAGGTGCATCCTGTTTCCATTCATCATCCTTGAGATGTTTCTACAACTTGATTGGAGTCCACCTGTGGTAAATTCAATTGACTGGACATGATTTGGAAAGGCACACACCTGTCTATATAAGGTCCTGCAGTTGACAGTGCATGTCAGAGCAAAAACCAAGCCATGAGGTCGAAGGAACAGGATTGTGAGGTCTGGGGAAGGGTACCAAAACATTTCTGCAGCATTGAAGGTCCCCAAGAACACAGTGGCCTCCATCATTTTTAAATGGAAGAAGTTTGGAACCACCAAGACTCTTCCTAGAGCTGGCTGCCTGGCCAAACTGAGCAATTGGGGGAGAAGGACCTTGGTCAGGGAGGTGACCAAGAACCCGATGGTCACTCTGACAGAGCTCTAGAGTTCCTCTGTGGAGATGGGAGAACCTTCCAGAAGGACAACCATCTCTGCAGCACTCCACCAATCAGGCATTTATGGTAGAGTGGCCAGATGGAAGCCACTCCTCAGTAAAAGGCACATGACAGCCCGCTTGGAGTTTGCTAAAAGTCACCTAAAGACTCTCAGACCATGAGAAACAAGATTCTCTGGTCTGATGAAACCAAGATTGAACTCTTTAGCCTGAATGCCAAGCGTCACGTCTGGAGGAAACCTGGCACCATCCCTACCGTGAAGCATGGTGGTGTCAGCATCATGCTGTGGGGATGTTTTTCAGCGGCAGGGACTGGGAGACTAGTCAGGATCGAGGTAAAGATGAACGGAGCAAAGTACAGAGAGATCCTTGATGAAAACCTGCTCCAGAGCGCTCAGGACCTCAGACTGGGGCGAAGGTTCACCTTCCAACAGGACAACGACCCAAAGCACACAGCCAAGACAACGCAGGAGTGGCTTCGGGACAAGTCTCTGAATGCCCTTGAGTGGCCCAGCCAGAGCCCGGACTTGAACCCGATCAAACATCTCTGGAGAGACCTGAAAATAGCTGTGCAGCAACGCTCCCCATCCAACCTGACAGAGCTTGAGAGGATCTGCAGAGAAGAATGGGAGAAACTCCCCAAATACAGGTGTGCCAAGCTTGTAGCGTCATACCCAAGAAGACTCGAGGCTGTAATCGCTGCCAAAGGTGCTTCAACAAAGTACTGAGTGAAGGTTCTGAATACTGATGTAAATGTGATATTTCATTTCTTTATATATAAATTAGCAAAAATGCCTAAAAACCTGTTTTTGCTTTGTCATTATGGGGTATTGTGTGCAGATTGATGAGGGGAAAAAAACGTTTAATCCATTGTAGAATAAGGCTGTAACCTAAAAAAATATGGAAAAAGTCAATACTTTCCGAAGGCACTGTATCATATAACTACTGTATATATTTATCATCCATATATATTACAAATATATATAGTGTATATTTGAGAACTGAATGGTTTAGTTATAGTAAAGATAATTGATTACAATGGAGGTGGTTTTGTGTGTGTGTGTGTTTATGTTTGTGCACGTGTTTGTGCGCATGCTTGCGATTGTGTGTGTGTGTGTGTGTGTGTGCAGGTGCGCGGTAGAGAGAACTTTGACCTGCTGATGAAGATCAAGGATAGTCTAGAGCTGGTGGAGTTCGTACCACAGCAGCTGGTGGACTCCTACAGACAACAACAGCAACAGCTGCTTCAGAGACAGTAAGTCAGCCACACACAAGCTCAAATATGCACACACACATTCACACACGCACACAAGCATACACATGCGCCTACAAACGTACACACAAACACACATATACACGTACACACACATACACATTCTCTCTCTCGCTCACAAACACACACATACACATTCTCTCTCTCTCTCTCTCTCGCTCACAGACACACATACACATTCTCTCTCTCTCTCACACACACACACACACACACACACACACATACATACATACATACATACATACAAGCACACAGGCACAGGTGTGCGTGCACACACACACTTAAACCCAAATACACTCATTCCATCCATGCATACACCTGTGCTGTCTTACACACATACAAATATTACACTCTTACACATTTCTGTCATCTCCCTCTCCACCCCTCCAATTCCCAGGAGCCATGTTGCATCCCCGTCCTCCTATGGCTCTCCCCTGTCCAACATGAACAAGCTGCACGGGGGCCACGGGGGCCACCAGTCTCAGCAAAACCCCCTCCCCAGCATGGGGCACGTGGGTGAGTGTTTGTCGAGGGAATTGGGGGAATGTGTGTGTGGGGTGTGTGTGTGTATGTGTGTGTGTTGTCACAGCTAATGGGTGCCATTAGATAACCTGATCGACCATCCTGACTGCTGCGTTCTCTCATTTCCTTTCAGAATGTTATCTTGTTACATCAGGATGGTCGAACGAGGCTAGTCATTAGACGCTACTATGGCAAACCTCTGAAAAACCTCTGAATGACATCATTCCGGGCACTGTCCTATTGATTGCGCGTATTGATTTGTTCCTGTCCCCTCTCCCACAGGTCCCAACATGCTCAACAGTCACCACATGCAGACCAACAGTGACATGAACGGGGGACACGGGGGCGGCCAGTCCATGTTGTCCACGTCGCACTGCACCCCTCCCCCTCCGTATAACCCTGACCCCAGCCTAGTCAGGTACCTCCCCCTCCAATGACACTCTGTCTTCCTCTCCCACTGACACAAGCCAACAGTCAGAGCCATCTATGATAAATAGATCATAGGGCCATTTCAGTTTGAGATCTGTGCAGTCGCCATCTTGGCACCAAAAGGTCCTTATATTCTGGTAAGAATTGAAATGGGAATGGTGCTGTCATTACATGTTTGCCAACATGGAGGGTAGTTTCTCTGCCTACAATATGTCCCAGAGCAGCTTAGAATCATTTGGGTCATATTGTTTCTCTCACAGAGAACACAACCATTTTGTGTAACTACTTCGGCCATTTACATTGAACTGTATAAAACTGTAGCTAAATTAAAAGAAATTGGAAAAAATTCCACCAAGCTTTAATGAATTGGTATTCCATTACTTTGGTCAGATAGTAAGACCCTTCTTGGGTTTTGTTGCAATGTTAAATGCATGCTCTGCTGGTTGGATTTGGACGAATAGGTTGCTGATTCGCTTTCCTGAGGTTTGGGGAGTTGTATAAGCAGTACAGTATGTTTACCCATCAAAGAATCCTAATATTATGTTTTTCAAATCTAAATGAACAACGTGTCCATCTTAGCATCTTATTTTCATTAATTCCCTCTAAACATATGCACAATACAAGGGAAATAGGTATTGGAACATTAAAAACATATTTTCCTAATCTGTTAGTGCCGTTGCATTGCATTCATACTAAGACATTGTTTTGTCATAATGTTAGGGTTTTCATTTTGCACTGTTTGTACCCAGACAAAAGTAGCATTAGAATGAACATGGTTATTGTCGTATACTGTTTTGTACATTTTGTTTTGTTTAAAGTGTTTGTAGACGAGAATTTTATATTCATGTATTTATAATAAAGGTTTTAATTCAACCAAATTGGCTTTTATGAATCATTAATACAACTGCATGAATTTGATTTGAGTGAAATTAATAACCATAGTCATTGAGAAATTGTTCCATCTGTAATTGATCATAATATTCTCTGTTCCTTATTGGACATGAAGCCATCATTTTAGTTTTACGATAGATACATATGTAGGATCTTAATTTGAGCCAGTTTTGCTACAGTAGGAAAAATAATCCTGCTGCAACCGGAAATGTTAATTATTATGTGGTTTATAATTAATGGACATTTTTGTAGGGGCTGATACATTTTTCGTAAGGGAAAATCAAGTCTGACATTTCTAAATGGATATTACTAACTTCAGAAGCCTTTTTAAACCTCAAATACACTACAAGTTTTAAATGTCCTGCATTGCAGGAAAGTTCTCCTGCAACAGGGTGATCGAATTAAGATCCTACATCTTTACAGACAAGCCGATTAGCAAATTGGTGGCCTTTTTAACCATTTAATAAAATTACAGTTAACTCTGGTAGTGGATTTTAATCACATGAAGTAGACAGAAGTAGACAGTGTCTCCTTAAATTTGGCTGCGGTGGAGTGGACACTAACTCTGGTCTTAAATCTAAGTGGCACTGCTTCTCTCTCCACACAGCTTTCTAACCAGTCTGGGCTGCCAGAACTGCATCGACTACTTCACGTTGCAGGGCCTGCAGAGTCTCTACCAACTCCAGACTCTGTCCATGGAGGTAAAATTCCAATTCACTCTCTCTGCAATTGACGCAGTGTAAATCATTCCAGTCCTGGAGGGAGGGGTCAGGTTTGGTTGGATCAGTGAGGCCTGAGGTCTATTAAGTCTCTCTCTTTTTCTCACTCTTTCTTTCTTTCTTTCTTTCTTTCTACCATTCACTCTCCTCATTTCTTTCTTTCTCTCTCTACCATTCACTCTCCTCCTTTCTTTCTTTCTTTCTTTCTTTATCTCTCTCCCTCTTCTCCTTCCTTTCTGTCTCCCATTCTGTCAAGCCTTTCCTTTCCTTTTCTCTCTCTCTCTCTCTCTCTCTCTCTCTCTCTCTCTCTCTCTCTCTCTCTAGGACCTGGGTGCACTAAAGATCCCCGAGCAGTTCCGCCTGGCCATCTGGCGGGGCCTGCAGGACATGAAGCAGGGAGGTGGGGTGGGACCTCCTCCTTCCTCCCACCATCAAGACCACTATGGTCAGCAGCTCCTCCGCTCCAGCAGCAACATGGCAGCAGCCGCCATGGCCATCGTCCCCGGCGGCGAGCTACAACGCCAGCGTGTCATGGAGGCCGTACACTTCCGTGTGCGCCACACCATTACCATCCCTTCCAACCGCCCGGGAGGTGGGCCGCAGGCAGTCGCTGCCGCCGCAGATGAGTGGGCCGACTTCGGCTTTGACATGCCCGACTGCAAAGTGTCGCGCAGCAACAAGAACTCCATCAAGGAGGAGTTCATGGAAAGTGACGTCCACTGAGAGAAAGAGGGAGAGAGAGAGAGAGAGATACAGAGGGTGGGAGAGAGCGAGATAGAGAGAACGGGACTCTTTATGTTCTCTGAGAGAGAGAGGGATAGAGAGAGAGCGAGGAAGAGAAGGAGAGGGAGAGGGAGAGAGAGAGATGACTCTTCTGTTTTGATGTTCATCAGGGGCCTAGTTTAGGGTTGTTTGTTTTTTTATATTGCTTTACATAGTGGTTGGCTTAGGACAACCAGTATGTAGCACCATTTCTCTAATGTATTTTGTCAGTACAGCTAAGTCAGTACAGCTTACTAAGTCAGTTGACTTCGTCATAATTAAGTCAGTACATTTGAGCCTGATACAGAAATGCTCACATGATATCATCGTATGGCTAGATTCCATTGAACAAGCCAACACATACCTGTACTCAATTAGATCAAAGCGGTCTTCTTTTGGTGTAAATATGTACATAATGTTCTGTAAAATGTATTCGATTTGTGGTCAAATTAAAAAGGTTAATATGTGTATTTAGATTCCTTAAGGTATAACTGTTCAAACAGACAGATGTATAGAGTTTCAATTTAAATCCAAGTACATACAAGAGTGTATCAGCATGGTCATGATCTTCGTATTGTGTTTATTCTCGATCACTCCTGAGCTAAAGCATCATAGTAACAGAACAGAAGCACACAGTTGTCTTACATTTCAACCCCAAATACTTTGTTTTGTTCGGTGGAGTACTTGTACCCCCTGAGTCTTGTGTCTGTAGTAGCCTATGTATTGTGTTTACGAAATTATTCTCTCCTGTGTCACATTGGATAACTACGCTGATTGTTGGTATGATTGTATGGATTGACGAACCCACCCTGTACAGTCAATTGGCCAGGCAAATAGATACAAGTGATATATATGTTGTCTGAAACAAAGAGGGAAAGCTAAACATCAGTATTAGATAGAGCCATGCATTTGTAGCAAAGTCACGCTCAGGTACTGTATCTAGTGGGCAATGCTACTGGCAGACAATCACAGAGGACCCCCTTTTTGCCTAGTTCATAAAGTAGGCCTTTAAGTCAGATTGATTTAATTAATTTGAAAACAATCAAGGCAGTGAGTGTGGACAATCAGATAACTGACAATCAGCTTCTCAGATCCCAGACTGCGGCTTTAATCACTTTACAAAATGTGTATTCAAATGAAACGTGTTGTTTTATAGAATTCTTTATTAGTAGTAGCACACTCCCAATGTACTATAAAATCAATGAATCTATATGGAATTCCTGAATTTAGGCCATTATTCAAACCCTGCTATACACCACCACATGAACAATTCATTCAGTTGATGTATTTCACTGTATTTATTTTATAGCAATATATTGTGTGGAATTGTATTTCAAACTGCATAGCAAGTTATCTGTATTGTATATATCTCACTTGAAGATACATAATCACAAAATGTGATCTAGACAGTTTTGACATACTAAGCCATCCCACTACTGTATGTGTTCTTAAATTCTCCTCCACTGCATGGCACTTGCTTAGATATTGATTCAAACAGACATGTTTAGTAGTTCACGTTCAGTAGTTTATACCATACTTAACCATGATGCACGTGTACTTGATGGGTTAGCATGAAATAAGGTGGCACAAAATGGAGAATGACTCCAGTTTCAATATGTTGTGTGGTCTCTTATTTTGACACAATTTTGCAGCAGGCACTCCTATCAAGTACATAGTACATGGGCAAAAGTCAGTGATAATTTTGCTATTATAAAAAGGGTTTGTGAATAATGCCATTTCCAATACTCAGTGCAAAACAGTCCTTGAGTCCACAGGAATGGATGGATCCCTTCCATTAACACCCAACATTTAACAAGTATAAAGCACTTTACTGCTTTAAAAAGAATAGAGGATAGAAATAATTTCATGTTCAGTGTGCTTATAATCAGTATTAGGCCAACGTCATAACTTGTAAATGGTAGATTGTCACTTTGTTTTGATATTTCTGGAGAGGTACTGTCTCAAGTGTTGCTTTTTTTATAACAATGTGTAACAATGTAACAATGTAACAATATTGCTGTTTATATTGATTTCCATTTCTTATTTGAGGTTGTACGTGTACAGTGTTTTTTCTTGTAAATCATGAATATTAAAAAGTGTGCTTTACAGGAACATATAGGTGTCGAGCAACTTTTTTCCTAAATGTAGAAAAGCATGGGGTTTGCCTAATAAGGTCTATCTACATGTTGTTGGATTCTCAATTCTAAAGATCATTGGATATACAGTGAGGGAAAAAAGTATTTGATCCCCTGCTGATTTTGTACGTTTGCCCACTGACAAATAAATTATCAGTCTATAATTTTAATGGTAGGTTTATTTGAACAGTGAGAGACAGAATAACAACAAAAAAATCCAGAATAACGCATGTCAAAAATTTTATAAATTGATATGCATTTTAATGAGGGAAATAAGTATTTGACCCCTCTCAATCAGAAAGATTTCTGGCTTCCAGGTGTCTTTTATACAGGTAACGAGCTGAGATTAGGAGCACACTCTTAAAGGGAGTGCTCCTAATCTCAGCTTGTTACCTGTATAAAAGTCACCTGTCCACAGAAGCAATCAATCAATCAGATTCCAAACTCTCCACCATGGCCAAGACCAAAGAGCTCTCCAAGGATGTCAGGGACAAGATTGTAGACCTACACAAGGCTGGAATGGGTCCTGAGATGTGTGCTCCTGAGATGTGTGCAAACCTGGTGGCCAACTACAAGAAACGTCTGACCTCTGTGATTGCCAACAAGGGTTTTGCCACCAAGTACTAAGTCATGTTTTGCAGAGGGGTCAAATACTTATTTCCCTCATTAAAATGCAAATCAATTTATAACATTTTTGACACGTGTTTTTCTGGATTTTTTGTTGTTGTTATTCTGTCTCTCACTGTTCAAATAAACCTACCATTAAAATGATAGACTGATCATATCTTTGTCAATGGGCAAACGTACAAAATCAGCAGGGGATCAAATACTTTTTTCCCTCACTGTATTGTGCCTTCAGAATGTTTCACACCCCTTGACATTTTCCACATTTTGTTGTGTTACAGCCTGAATTTTAAATGGATTACATTGAGATTTAGTGTCACTGATCTAGACACAATACCCCATAATGTCAAAGTGGAATTATGTTTTTATAATTTTTTACAAATTAATAAAAATGAAAAGCTGAAATGTCTTCAGTCAATAAGTATTCAATACTTTGTCATGGCAAGCCTAAATAAGTTCAGGAGTAAAAATGTGCTTAACAAGTCACATAATAAGTTGCATGGACTCACTCTGTGTGCCATAATAGTGTTTAAAATTATTTTTGAATGACTACCTCATCTCATGTACCCCACACATACAATTATCTGTAAGGTCCTTCAGTCGAGCAGTGAATTCCAAACACAGATTCAACCACAAAGACCAGGGAGGTCTTCCAATGCATCGAAAAGAAGGGCACTTATTGGTAGATGGGTAAAAAAAGCAGACATTGAATATCCCTTTGAGCATGGTGAAGTTATTAATTACACTTTGGATGGTGCATCAACACACCTAGTCACTAAAAAGATACAAGCATCCTTCCTGACTCAGTTGCCCGGAGAGGAAGGAAACCACTCAGGGATTTCACCCTGAGGCCAATGGTGACTTTAAAACAGTTACAGAGTTTAATGGCTGTGATAGGAGGATGGAGGATGGATCAACAACATTGTAGTTTCTCCACAATTCTAACCTACAGTGAGGGAAAATACTATTTGATCCCCTGCTGATTTTGTACATTTGTCCACTGACAAAGAAATGATCAGTCTATAATTTTAATGGTAGGTTTATTTGAACAGTGAGAGACAGAATAACAACAACAAAATCCAGAAAAACGCATGTCAAAAATGTTATAAATTGATTTGCATTTTAATGAGGGAAATAAGTATTTGACCCCCTCTCAATCAGAAAGATTTCTGGCTCCCAGGTGTCTTTTATACAGGTAACGAGCTGAGATTAGGAGCACACTCTTAAAGGGAGTGCTCCTAATCTCAGTGTGTTACCTGTATAAAAGACACCTGTCCACAGAAGCAATCAATCAGATTCCAAACTCTCCACCATGGCCAAGACCAAAGAGCTCCCCAAGGATGTCAGGCACAAGATTGTAGACCTACACAAGGCTGGAATGGGCTACAAGACCATCGCCAAGCAGCTTGGTGAGAAGGTGACAACAGTTGGTGCGATTATTCACAAATGGAAGAAACACAAAATAACTGTCAATCTCCCTCGGCATGGGGCTCCATGCAAGATCTCACCTCATGGAGTTGCAATGATCATGAGAACGGTGAGGAATCAGCCCAGAACTACACGGGAGGATCTTGTCAATGATCTCAAGGCAGCTGGGACCATAGTCACCAAGAAAACAATTGGTAACACACTACGCCGTGAAGGACTGAAATCCTGCAGCGCCTGCAAGGTCTCCCTGCTCAAGAAAGCACATATACAGGCCCGTCTGAAGTTTGCCAATGAACATCTGAATGATTCAGAGGAGAACTGGGTGAAAGTGTTGTGGTCAGATGAGACCAAAATCGAGCTCTTTGACGTCAACTCAACTCGCCGTGTTTGGAGGAGGAGGAATGCTGCCTATGACCCCAAGAACACCATCCCCACCGTCAAACATGGAGGTGGAAACATTATGCTTTGGGGGTGTTTTTCTGCTAAGGGGACAACTTCACCGCATCAAAGGGACGATGGACGGGGCCATGTACCGTCAAATCTTGGGTGAGAACCTCCTTCCCTCAGCCAGGGCATTGAAAATGGGTCGTGGATGGGTATTCCAGCATGAAAATGACCCAAAACACACGGCCAAGGCAACAAAGGAGTGGCTCAAGAAGAAGCACATTAAGGTCCTGGAGTGGCCTAGCCAGTCTCCAGACCTTAATCCCATAGAAAATCTGTGGAGGGAACTGAAGGTTCGAGTTGCTAAACGTCAGCCTCGAAACCTTAATGACTTGGAGAAGATCTGCAAAGAGGAGTGGGACAAAATCCCTCCTAAGATGTGTGCAAACCTGGTGGCCAACTACAAGAAACGTCTGACCTCTGTGATTGCCAACAAGGGTTTTGCCACAAAGTATTGAGTCATGTTTTGCAGAGGGGTCAAATACTTATTTCCCTCATTAAAATGCAAATCAATTTATAACATTTTTGACATGCGTTTTTCTGGATTTCTTTGTTGTAATTCTGTCTCTCACTGTTCAAATAAACCTACCATTAAAATTATAGACTGATCATTTCTTTGTCAGTGGGCAAACGTACAAAATCAGCAGGGGATCAAATACTTTTTTCCCTCACTGTAAATGACATAGTGAAAAGAAAGAAGCCTGTACAGAATAAAAAATATTCCAAAAAGTGTATCTTGTTTGCAATAAGGTACTAAAGTAAAACTGCAAAAAATGTGGCAAAGAAATTAACTTTATGTTCTAAATACAATGTGTTGTCTTTGGGGCAAATCCAACACAGCCTATCACTGAGTACCACTCTTCATATTTTCAAGCATGGTGGTGGCTGCATCATGTTATGGGTATACTTGCCATCGGCAAGGACTATGGAGTTTTTTGGGATAAAAAGAAACGGAACAGATCTAAGAACTTTTATTTCTTTATTTTTATTTCACCTTTATTTAACCAGGTAGCCAGTTGGGAACAAGTTCTCATTTACAACTGCGACCTGGCCAAGATAAAGCAAAGCAGTACGATAAAAACAACAACAACACAGAGTTACACATGGGATAAAACAAAGCGTACAGTCAATAACACAATAGAAAATCTATATACAGTGTGTGCGAATGTAGTAAGTTATGGAGGTAAGGCAATAAATAGGCCATAGTGCAAAATAATTTCAATTTAGTATTAACACTGGAGTGATAGATGTGCAGAAGAAGATGTGCAAATAGAGATACTAAGGTGCAAATTAGCAAAATAAATAACAATATGGGGATGAGGTAGTTGGGTGGGCTAATTACAGATGGGCTGTGTACAGGTGCAGTGATCGGTAAGCTGCTCTGACAACTGATGCTTAAAGTTAGTGAGGGAGATAAGAGTCTCCAGCTTCAGAGATTTTTGCAGTTCGTTCCAGTCATTAGCAGCAGACAACTGGAAGGAATGGCGGCCAAATGAGGTGTTGGCTTTGGGAATGACCAGTGAGATATACCTGCTGGATACTACGGGTGGGTGTTGCTATGGTGACCAATGAGCTAAGATAAGGCAGGGATTTGCCTAGCAGTGATTTATAGATGACCTGGAGCCAGTGGGTTTGGCGACGAATATGTAGTGAGGGCCAGCCAACGAGAGCGTACAGGTCACAATGGTGGGTAGTATATGGGGCTTTGGTGACAAAACGGATGGCACTGTGATAGACTACATCCAATTTGCTGAGTAGAGTGTTGGAGGCTATTTTGTAAATGACATTGCCGAAGTCAAGGATCGGTAGGATAGTCAGTTTTACGAGGGCATGATTGGCAGCATGAGTGAAGGAGGCTTTGTTGCGAAATAGGAAGCCGATTCTAGATTTAACTTTGGATTGGAGATGCTTAATGTGAGTCTGGAAGGAGAGTTTACGGTCTAACCAGACACCTAGGTATTTGTAGTTGTCCACATATTCTAAGTCAGACCCGTCGAGAGTAGTGATTCTAGTCGGGCAGGCGGGTGCAAGCAGCGTTCGATTGAAGAGCATGCATTTAGTTTTACTAGCGTTTAAGAGCAGTTGGAGGCTACGGAAGGAGTGTTGTATGGCATTGAAGCTCGTTTGGAGGTTTGTTAACACAGTGTCCAATGAAGGGCCAGGTGTATACAAAATGGTGTCGTCTGCGTAGAGGTGGATCTGAGAGTCACCAGCAGCAAGAGCGACATCATTGATATACACAGAGAATAGAGTCGGACCAAGAATTGAACCCTGTGGCACCCCCATAGAGACTGCCAGAGGTCCAGACAACAGGCCCTCCGATTTGAAACATTGAACTCTCTCTGAGAAGTAGTTGGTGAACCAGGCGAGGCAGTCATTTGAGAAACCAAGGCTATTTAGTCTACCAATAAGAATGCGGTGGTTGACAGAGTCGAAAGCCTTGGCCAGGTCGATGAAGACGGCTGCACAGTACTGTCTTTCATCGATCGCGGATATAATATCGTTTAGGACCTTTAGCGTGGCTGAGGTGCACCCATGACCAGCTCGGAAACCAGATTGCATAGCGGAGAAGGTACGGTGGGATTCGAAATGGACGGTGATCTGTTTGTTAACTTGGCTTTCAAATAATTTCGAAAGGCAGGGCAGGATGGATATAGGTCTGTAACAGTTTGGATCTAGAGTGTCACCCCTTTGAAGAGGGGGATGACCGCGGCAGCTTTCCAATCTCTGGAGATCTCAGATGATACGAAAGAGAGGTTGAACAGGCTAGTGGGTTGCTACAATTTCGGCTGCTAATTTTAGAAAGAAAGGGTCAGCTGATTTGTAGGGGTCCAGATTTTGCAGCTCTTTCAGAATATCAGCTATCTGAATTTGGGTGAAGGAGAAGCGGGGAAAGCATGGCCAGCCGTAGCAAAATGCTTATTGAAATTCTCGATTATCGTAGATAATGTGACATACATTGCTTGACTTGAACTGAAATAGGTGCCGATACTCATTTTTAGTGCCGGTACTGTTTTTATATTTAGGTGCTAATTTTGAGCTAATATTCTATAAGAGGTACAGGAACTCAAGCAGTAGAACATTCGAGGTGCCGGCACTCAGTTCCGGTGAGCTCCTGCCAAATATAGCACTGCTGACATATCATATCTCTTTGTTGTTTATATAGTAGTCTAGTGTGTTTATTTTTTTTTAAACAGTACTATCATGTTGAAATATATTGTGTGTACATTTACCATGTACTGAGAGTCACCACTAAGGTAGCCTAGACACCAGAGTCACTTCCCACTGCGAAAAAAAGGTTAAATCAAAATTGTTTCCACATAATTTCTACCAAAAAAAGCAATGTGATGACGTTGAATCAACATGGAAAACTGACTATAAATGTAAATGTAAATGATTGGATGTGCAAAAAGTAATCAACCTAATTTTGTATTTTTTCACCCAACTTTTAACCTAAATCCAATGACATGGTGACATTTTTAGTTGATTTCACGTTGAATTCACGTTAGTTGACAACTCAAAGAAATGTAAATCAAAACTATAAGTTGATCTGACGTCTGTGCCCAGCGGGTTGCCTTCTGATGGGGACAGTGAGTAATGTGGATATTATGGCTTCCTGAAATGGCCACTATGTGGCAGTAGCGGTGTAAATAATACATTTTTCACACAGGGTCAGGTAAAATGTGTACACACACATGTTCATGTTAAAATGACCTAAATTCACACATGAGGATGGGAAAACAACATTATGAATCCTACCCAAAAACACTTAAAGGGATAGTTTACAAAATTACAAAATGACACATTGGTTTCCTTACCCTGTAAGCAGTCTATGGACAAGGTATGACAGCAATCCATGCTTTGGTTTAGTTTCCCTGGCACTGTTTCCACATGCTAATGTTTTAGCATTTCTGGCACAAATCTCATTCAACTCATGGGACCGATATTAGCAGTTTTAGCGCATCATATCCAAATCATCTGAAAGTATCTCAAATTGATTGTGAAGCGCCACAAAGTCACTTATACATGAGTATTACTTTAGTGCCTTGTTGCAAACAGGATGCATGTTTTGAAATATTTTTATTCTGTACAGGCTTCCTTCTTTTCACTCTGTCAATTAGGTCAGTATTGTGGAATATCTACAATGCTGTTTTCTCTTATCACAGTCATTAAACGCTGTAACTGTTTTAAAGTCACCATTGGCCTCATGGTGAAATCTCTGAGGGGTTTCTTTCCTCTCCGGCAACTGAGTTAGGAAGGACACCTGTATATTTGTAGCGACTGGGTGTATTGATACACCATCCAGTGTAATTAATAACTTCACCATGCTCAACTAGCTATTCAATGTCTGTTTTATTTTTGTTTTTCTCCCATCTACCAATAGGTGCCCTTCTTTGCGAGGCATTGGAAAACTTCCCTGGTCTTTGTGGTTTAATCTGTGTTTGGAATTCACTGCTCGACTGAAGGACCTTACAGATAATTGTATGTGTGGGGTACAGAGATGAGGTAGTCATTCAAAAATCATGTTAAACACTATTATTGCATAGATAGCGAGTCCATGCAACTTATGTTACTTGTTAAGCAATGTTTTACTCCTGAATTTATTTAGGCTTGCCGTAACAAAGGGGTTGAATACTTTTTGACTCAAAACATTTCAGCTTTTCATTTTTAAGTAATGTTTAAACATTTCAAAAAACATAATTCTACTTTGACATAATGGGGTATTGTGTGTAGACCAGTGACACAATATCTCAATTTAATCCATTTAAAATTCAGGATGTAACACAACAAAATGTGGAAAAAGTCAAGGGGTGTGAATACTTTCTGAAGGCATAAAGCTAACAATACTCTGTTATTTGCTGTATGGTATTATTTCTAGAGAGACTTAATAAGTAGGCTATTTAATTAGGGGCATAATCTTAGGCTACAGACATAAAACAGCATATGAGTTGAAAGTAAAGGTGTGACTGGAAAAAAAAGTGCAATCATTATTGTGTAATATATAATTGTAGTTAACCTTTTGCCCTTGTATTTTCAATGAAGGGGGTATGTTTAATTTGCCAGGGGCCAGGCAAAGTGCCCCTAAAACCCCAGTATATCTACCATATAAATACAATCCATTAATCCATAGATTCTATTTCTATGGTATCTATCACGCTGGCCCAGCGTTTTCGAAGCTCTTCTTGTCTTGCCTGCGGTACTTTCGAGCGAGTCCTCGCGGAAGTACTGACGTGTTCACACGTCATTAGCCGGCCAGCACGAGAGGTAGTTAGGTAGAGCCGAGAGTGACACAGCGGCAGAATCAGGTAAGAAAAACCTGTCTTGCAGTATTTTGTCTGTCAGTAGGAGTGTGGACATATGTTCTCGATTTTAAGTGGGATTTAGGGGACCAATACCGAAATAATATTTCAATTGAATTCCTCTCTAAATATGGTAACGAGAGGCTAAATGCCTATGCTACCTAGCTAGCTAGCTAGAAAGATCTCGGTTTCTAACCGGAAGTGAGTTGTCAAATTCACGAAATTACAGCTGGTGGTTGTAGTTCAACTTCCAACTGATTTGTAGCTTTCAAAACAACAAGATTGACACGAAGGACTACACTTTCCATCTTTCTGGTAGCAGGGGTTAACAAGTAACTGTTTGATTCCCGCTGCACCTTATGGGAAGTAGAGTGAAACGATCATTGCTTTACCACACACTGCTAATGAAAGATGGTTGCTTGAAAACTACACAAACCTGAAATGGGTTGTTTGGGGGAAGGATATCACTAATTCGCTAGATAACATTTTTGTAAAGCTAGCTAACTTATTAGCAACACTCACCCTGCTTGCAAGACAGGAAAACATAACATTCAATCCGAAAGTAATAGCTAATATTAACTAACTACAACAATGACCTGATATTTTAGCTAGGTAGTAAAATGTGCGTTATGAATAATCACACTTCAATGCTAAACATATACTGTAGCTAGCTATCCAATCTCACACACTATATATCAGTTGTTAACTAGATGGCTGGCTAGCTAGTTACTGCATTGGCTGGTTAGCTAGTTACTGCATTGGCTGGTTGGCTAGATCGCTTGCTATTAGCTAGCTTACCAGTACACGATTCAGCGTTGGAGAGCAAATAATAGCTAACTAGCTAGCCATTATGGAAGATACATTTTCTATCCCCGTTCTGTCAGCTATATATATTAAGTATATATATATATATGGTCATAATATATCAGCTAACGTTAACTTAGTCTCACAATAATTGGACAGCCGTTTGATAGCCAAGCAACAACATATGGCATTTGGCATGAAGGAAAATGAACTGAAAATTAAACTCTTCTTTCGACTTTGGGTGGTAAGTGTTGGGATAGTGGTAGCTAGCTAGGTCAATCGGCCCAGTGCTTCCCAACCTTGGTCCTCGAGTACCCCAAACAGTACACAGTTTTGTTGTAGCCCTTGACAAAAACCCCTCATTCAACTCATTGAGGGCTTGATGATTAGTTGACAAGTTGAATCAGGTGTGCTTGATACAAAATTGTACTGTAGGGTACTCTAGGACCAGGGTTGGAAAACACTGAATTAGCCTATGTTGATGTAGCCCAACCGACCGCGAGATGGCACCATTATTCCGTTTGTCATCTGCATCGGACTTGGCATTTGAGTCCAGCTGGCTCAGTGAATTAGTGTCTGTCACCCAGCGACCAGCTCGTAAATAAACATTATTAAGTCAGGCTGCAAAGGCATCAGTTTCCTCCTTAACTCGATTTAATTCCCCGCCGGCCTAAAAGGAAAAACAGGGAAATATGTGTACCGTCTTAATAAAACGCAATCTTCCACCACCATGCTAGAGAGGCAGGGATTGACATTAAAGCTACACTATGCAGAAATCGCTCTGCCATTTCCTGTTTACTAAAATTCTAATAGTTTGCCTAATTTCAGTTTGTGACAAGCATGTATAGTGTAGCGAATCATTGTACCATCTAAACCGCTGTGAAATATATTTTCTATAACCTAAAATATTGTATTTACAGCTGTTTGAAGCTAGTGTACAAAACTGAAAGTAAAAGACACAAAAACTAAACGTAAAAACGAGAAGCATAGAAATAGTGCACGTAGGACAGATCTACCCTTCTTACATTTTAGTCATTTAGCAGACGCTCTTATCCAGAGCGCCTTACAGTTAGTGAGTGCATACATTTTTCATACTGTTAGACTTGCTTTCAATGAGAATGACAGATCTATAACTCTGGTAAGTTGAGCAGGCTCAACTTGCCTGACTGCCATACATTTTTGATCACCTGCCCAATGTGGAAACCTCAGAGCAGGTTCAACTTGCGCGACTGCTCAGTTCACTTGCCCCAGGCAATAGGGCAACCCTTAAAGCTGCAATATGTAACTTTTTGGGTGGCCCAACCATATTAACATAGAATTTGGTCGTTTCGCCTTTCCACATAGGGTTCATATTAGTGGCGCAGTGCTAGCTGTGCCACTAAAGATCCTGGTTCGAATCCAGGCTCTGTTGTAGCCGGCCGCGACCGGGAGACCCATGGGGCGGCGCACAATTGGCCCAGCGTCGTCCAGGGTAGGGGAGAGAATGGCCGGCAGGGATGTAGCTCAGTTGGTAGAGCATGGCGTTTGCAACGCCAGGGTTGTGGGTTCGATTCCCACGGGGGGGCAGTATGAAAAATTAAAAATAATGTATGTACTCACTAACTGTAAGTCGCTTTGGATAAGAGCGTCTGCTAAAAATGACTAAAATGTCAAATGTAGTGTGTAGCCCAAACTGTTGGCAGATCGGCTGTACCGACTTCAGACGAGTCCCAAGACACTTGTGGGGGTCGTAGAGCAAAAGTGAGAGTCTCATCTTTCCACAGAGGGGTCATAATAGTTTTTAGGCCAAACCATTCGAACGCTACAGACAATTTTGTGAGATGACCGATTTTTCGGAATGTCTCATGGTCTGACAAACACCGCTCTAGCTCTGTCACCTTTCACTTCAGATGCGGAAGTGCGACATCGGCGGATGTGGTGGATTGAGACACATCCAATGCAAAAAAACATATCTCTAGCTTAAACTGACAGATTTGTATGGGGATTGTTTTATTATTATGCTAATTTGTTTTCCTAAAATAACGATGCTTGGTGGCTGTTCCGTGTTCGGTTGTGGTGATTTCAAAGATGCTAAATCGAAAGGGGTTACATTCCATAGTTTGGAAAGATGCAAGCAGTGGTTGGTGGCTATTCAAAACTCTAAATACGATGTAAACACACCACAGGACAAATACCAGAATGTCCGTGTATGTAGCAAGCATTTCTCACCAGAGGACGAGAGGGAGAGGGATATGCAGGCCGAATTGATGGGTGCCGATTCATCACGACGACAACGTATTTTGTCCAACTGTTCATTGAACGCTGACAAGACCCTATAATTCAATACAGGCCGACAACACCCTAGAACTTCTAGCCTACCCTTCCAAAGAACATTGCCCCACCAACAAAGCAGGCAAAACAGGATGTCATTGAGAAGCACAAGATGAGGTTCTCAAAGTGAAACATCATTGCCCCTATTATTGTAAACTAAATGTGTATATTATTCTCCGTAAACAAATAAATCCAAACTAGCTTTAATGGCTGTACTAGGCATATCCACTGTGTGAATATGAGCTGTATGACTGAACTTCTATATTATGAGCAATACTGATTAGGGTTGGGAGATATTACAATAGTATCGTCTATCGACGATGATTGACAGCCATCATCTGGTGACGACATAGTGATGTGACAGACGATACCTAACCTATTTCAACGTGACTGGCCTTGCGCAGGAAAGAGAAGAGCAGAGTCAGGCAGTACACAGCAGGACAGTGCATGGGTGTCATTCAGAGTACATTTCCTATATTCCTATTTGCTATAGCCCATTTCAAATAATGTTATATTTACAGAATGCAAGAGCACAATGTAGACATGGCTAAGTTTCTCCAAAGCAGCGCTAAATGTCTGGTCAGAAAATTGAGTTATTTCTCTTTCTCCAATAGTGGATGACTTCTCCCACCGCGCTATTTCATGATCAAACAATTAATATATCTAATGGAGTTCTAGGCTATCTCAGTTTTTGAATAACCTACAAATATGGTAGGCCTAAGGTAATCTTGAGAGAGCGAGAACAAACAATAGCAAGATGGAAAAATCTAATGAGAAATTTGAACAAACCTTACTGTTGAGCAAAGCATTATATGACAGGAATGCTGCATGCATGTGAGGCCAGACAAAAACATCGCCCAACCCTGATACTGATATCTCCACCAACTTCTTGTAAATGAGTAGTGTAAACACAAAACAAAGGGGGTTTAAGTACAACTAAAGCAAATGCATAGCTAAGTGCTTCCTTATTGAGGCTACTCATTTTACTCTAGATGTACTGATCTGATAGTAATTACAACCAATAAAATAAAGACAAAGAATTAATGCAGTTTCCAGATTTTATTGCATATTATTACAGTTAATCCAGCGCATCATCAACCTTGACGAAGCCTCTGTACTGCCCATCAGGAGATCACGAACGCTCCCAACCACACAGGCCGGCGAAACCAGTCTGTTGTTTTTCTGTCGTACCCATTCCAGGAAATAAAATGGTAGGCGTGATATTTTCTGAAAGGGAAAAAAATGAATAATCAGATTTGTTGTTAGGATAGTCTGTATTCTAACATTTGTAAACAACACTGGTAGATGTAGCCAATACGATGGTAAAGTAATCTAACGTTAATTATCAGCTGGGTGGTTCGAGCCCTTAGTGCTGATTGGCTGACAGCCGTGGTATATCAGACCATATACCATGGGTATGCCAAAAAATTACTATTTACTGGTCTAATTGCATTGGTAACCAGTTTATAAAAGCAATAAGGCACCTCAGGGGTTTGTTGTATATGACCAATATACCACAGCTAAGGGCTGTATCCAGGCATGTTGCATCGTGCCTAAGAACAGCCCTTATACGTGGTATATTGGCCATATACCACACCTCCTCTGCCATTATTTCTTAAGACTACCATGACGATTAAAATATGTCGGGAGATTACCATAGTACGCTTGTAGCCTATTAAATGCTACAGGAGACTAATATAGTCTCCTGTGGTCAGATGATGCGGATGCTACGCTACAAAACAGTTTTGCTAGCACAGACTGGAATATGTTCCGGGATTCATCCAATGGCATTGAGGAGTATACCACCTCAGTCACCGGCTTCATCAATAAGTGCATTGACGATGTCGTCCCCACAGTGACCGTACGTACGTACATATCCCAACCAGAAGCCATGGATTACAGGCAACATCCGCACCAAGCTAAAGGCTAGAGCTGCCGCTTTCAAGGAGCGGGACACCAATCCGGACACAAATTCCGCTATGCCCTCAGACGAACCATCAAACAGGTAAAGCGTCAATACAGGACTAAGATTGAATCCTACTACACCGGCTCTGACGCTCGTCGGATGTGGCAAGGCTTGCAAACTATTACGGACTACAAAGGGAAACCCAAGCCGCGAGCTGCTCAGTGACGCGAGCCTACCAGATGGGCTAAATGCCTTTTATGCTCGCTTTGAGGCAAGCAACACTGAAGCATGCATGAGAGCACCAGATGTTCCGGACGACTGTGTGATCACGCTCTCCGTAGCCGATGTGAGCAAGACCTTTTAAACAGGTCAATATTCACATCGACGGGGCTGTAGTGGAGCGGGTCGAGAGTTTCAAGTTCCTCGGTGTCCACATCACCAACAAACTCCGCAATATAACATGATCTATCATGGTCCAAACACACAAAGACAGTCGTGAAGAGGGCACAGGAGACTGAAAAGATTTGGCATGGGTCCCCAGAGCCTCAAGAAGTTCTACAGCTGCACCATTGAGAGCATCCTGACCGGTTGCATCACCGCCTGGTATGGCAACTGCTTGGCATCCGACCGTAAGGCGCTACAGAGGGTAGTGTGTACGGCCCAGCACATCACTGGGGCCAAGCTTCCTGCCATCCAGGACCTATATACTAGGCTGTGTCAGAGGAAGGCCCACATAATTGTCAAAGACTCCAGTCATCCAAGTCATAGACTGTTCTCTCTGCTACCGCAAGGCTAGCGGTACCGGAGCGCCAAGTCTTGGTCCAAAAGGCTCCTTAACAGATTCTACCCCCAAGACATAAGACTGCTGATCAATTAATAAAATGGGCACCCGGACTATTTACATTGACCCCCTGCTGCTACTCGCTGTTTATCTATGCATAGTCACTTTACCCCTACCTACATGTACAAATTACCTCGACTAACCTGTACCCCCCCCCCCCGTATATAGCCTCATTATTGTTTTTTTGTTCAACTTTTTTCCCCCTTTTAGTTTATTTAGTAAATATTTTCTTAAATCTATTTTTTACTGCATTGTTGGTTAAGGGCTTGTAAGTAAGCATTTCACAGTAAGGTCTATACCTGTTGTATTCAGAGCATGTGACATAATATTTGATTTGATATAGCTGTTATAGATATTATGGTGGGAGCACATTCAACAGCCAAATATAAAACAATTCAAGTCAGTGTTGCATTGCTTTTTTCTACTTTAGAAACTAGGCTATGTCAATGCGCTAGATCTGGATGTAAACAAACCAGGCTGAACTCGATCTAGTAATGAAAGCAGAACTAACGCTACACAACCGCAATGCACACAACAGCGCTAACTTTATATGAAATAATGCAGATATAAAAATATTAGCTGGCGCAAAACACTTACTCTGCTGTTATCTGTCCTCTTGGCCCCACTGGTTTAGGCTTTCTTCTCCAGTTTATCTTTGGGATTAGTCTCAATGCTGTTTAACTAGGAATGCCCACTTTTTCAAATTCCCAGCATTCGGGAGCGGGACAAGCCGAGATCAGGAAATCAACCTCACATTAATTACTTGCAGCAAATGGTCCTCTGTAGCTCAATTGGTAGAGCATGACGCCAGGCTGGTGGGTTCGATCCCCGGGACCACCCATACGTAAAAATGTATGCACACATGACTGTAAGTCGTTTTGGATAAAAGCGTCTGCTAAATGGCTTATTATTATTATTATTATTATTAACTAAACTAGCTTTACAAAGCACCGCCAGGCAAGCTCTTTCAAACACAAAGCCTGAGTTAGCAGGGCAAGCTCTTTCAAACACAAAGCCTGAGTTAGCAGGGCTCTACACTGACCTTTTTTACAAGTGTAAATTTAAAAGCACAATGAAAAAGATTTGAGGTAACAAGCCTTTTTTTGTAGTAATGGTGCAAGCATGACGGCATAAATCTGCGCTCCGTGTATTCTCCATGGCACTCAGGGGCTGCGGTACAGTGAAGTAGTCATTGCAACAATTATCATCTGGGTGATTTATTTTACCAATGAGGTGCTCCTAAATTACATTTCTAGGTCGCACAGCAAAATATTTACATGCATATGCGAGTAAAATGGCCGCACTGTAGAGCCCTGGGTGGTGAAGTCTGTTCAAGGAATACCTGTTAACAACCATTTTCTCTCCTTCCACAGACATAATGTCAGAAGGTGACAGTGTTGGTGAATCAATCCATGGGAAACCATCCACAATCGGCAGCTTCTTCACACGGGTTGGACAGGTACTGCTGCCGGGGCCTTTAGTTGGTCTCTCATCAGATGTCAAGAGGAATGCGAAATAGGCTAAACCAAAGAATGCTGCACCGCTGTTTTGATTAAGATAACCATTGGACCCACTGTCACGGTGGTGCCACGTGGAAAGACTAGAAATTCCACTTCAGATAAGAAGATGTAAAAATACAATGCTTTATCTAATGTTTACAGTTGTTCTCCTGGTAATGGTTGTGCACTGTGTCTCTGGATGGTGTCTTTTCCAGATCTATCAGTCATGGCTAGACAAGTCGACGCCGTTCTCTGTAGGGCGATGGGGAGTCACTCTTTCGCTAACGGCCATCTACATGATCAGAGTGTACATATTACAGGTAGAGCAACACAACTCTCAGCGCTTATCCTGAGCCGCATTCAGGAGAGTGCAGCATACTGAACACTCCACATAGAAATGCTATGAGCAGAGCTGACATGATTCCTTTCTCCACATGTCAAAAAGGCATGTCTGTTCTGCACAATATATTTCTATCTGAACGTTCCACATCATTGTACCCTACTGAATACGCACCGGACGTCCTTAAAGGTGGCCTCAGCAATGTGACATCATCATACACAGTTGGACAACTTTCTCCTTACAGGCGTAAACAGTAAAAGTAAAATCTGCCAAGATGTGGGCATGCCTTAGGCGAGAGAGCACATTTGGAAGAGCCTGTAAGTGGCTTGTCAGATTTGAATTCTGTTTATGACTATGATCATGTTATATTGCGGAGTCTAACCGTTAAGACATTTTGAGGGCATTTAACTGTGTGAAGGTGTACTGTTTTCTTCTAGACTGGTATTGCTCCAGATATTATCACCTCAGTCAGTGATGCATTTGTGAATTGAATTGCAGAATATACATTTTTATGCTTATTTAATTTACAGTTTGCAGGTTGAATGTATGACATTCAAATCAACCTTAATATGAGGTTTTCTCTGCTCCCTCCAGGGTTGGTATATTGTAACATATGCTCTGGGAATCTACCATCTTAACCTGTTCATCGCTTTTCTATCACCAAAAGTGGATCCATCAATGCTTGACGAAGGCAAGTTAGAGTTCACTACACCACACGACATTCCATTGGTTGAGGTCATGTTCGAGATGTTTACTTTTCCTACATAAAACGATGTGCAGGAGTGTCTTCTAGCGCTCACCCTTCACTAAGACACAATCAAAGATATCTTGGTGTACAGACTCCATGGTGCAGCTAGAGAGTATGTTTACAAAAGCATTGACTAGGGATGCATCTTTTGGCTTTCAAGCCAACTCGATAACGCATCTTTATACACTGGCGTATACAATTCAAAAAAGATACCTTATAGTTTGGGACGATTCAATACTATACAGTTCAATGCAATTAGATTTTTATTTGCAGTCTGGATCATTTTTCATCCTTATTATGACTAGACAAAGATTATATAAAAACGTAATTTTCAAATTACCAATCATTTCTGAAAACAGCCTATAGCCCAATGGCAAACTCTAAAATTAGATCCCAAAATTCAGAAAGACATGCATGTTTGGTACAGTTCAGTGTACCTACATGCAGTATTGTGGATAATGATTGGTTGGTTTACCTTGCCCTTGGGAAGGGGGATACCTAGTCAATTGTACAACTGACATGTGTCCTCCGCATTTAACCCCTTGTCACGCCTACTCATTTAAAATGGGGGATGCACTGGTTAAGGGGTCTATTTGATGTGTGTTAATTACTCACATTGCTGCTGCAAGGTGTGAATTTCTTTACTGATAGGATTTGGACTGAATTGGGTGGGGGGTGTCGTCTCATACCAGTTTTCAGAATGTATCGGTGAATCGTTAAACACTCTGTACACTAGAGAAATAAGTTATTGCCAATGTGGTTCTCTTTGAAAGCTCTTTGGTTGCTATGTAAATACTATTTTAACCATCAGGTTACGATTTAAACAAATTTTAGTATTCTTATCGGGATGCTGTTGGGATCAGTTTTGTAACTCTGTAGTCACACGTGACCACTGAGCCTTGTTGTAACCTTGCTCCTCCTCCATACACCTGTAGATGAGGGTCCGGCGCTCCCAACCAAGCAGAACGAGGAGTTCCGCCCATTCATCAGGAGGTTGCCCGAATTCAAATTCTGGTGAGAGCCCCCAATCACTGTCATCTACCCAGCCTGGCCTTTCACTGACTAGGTTGAGCCACAGGCTTGTGCATGCATCATTTGTGTCTCCTTGTCCTGATATCCTACCACAGTGTCCTGTTTGAATATTCTTTCATCAATCATTCACCAATGGTTATGAAATGGGTTTTTTGACCATTTGCATGAAAATTCATTTTGTGGGGTCAGCAACTTACACAAAATCAATTACATTTAAATAATATAATTACATTATAATAAAAAACATGACAATAAAATGGAAAGTGAGAACACATTCACATAGTAGTACACTGTGACATGTACAATACTGTTCGGCCATGTATGTGCGTTGTTGTATGTCCAACTATAGCCTGGTTCACAGAAAATAAGCTCCTGCACACTGCCCTTGCAAAGTATCACTCCTTTATTCTGTTCACTAAGTAGCTCGCTCACACGCCAATGTGAAGATGTTCTTGGCCTGTGAAAGTATACTTCCAAAAGGATGCTCCGCTAGGATGGCTATATGTGGATATAACGTATATTGGTGGCACGACTAATATGTTGTTGCCCATACCTGTGATGATAGGAAACAGAAACCTCTGGTGGTTAGCTTTGTGGTTTCCTTCTGGGCCCGTATTCATAAAGAGTCTGACTATGAGTGCTGATCTAGGATCGGTTTTGCATTTTAGAGCATAATTATATGCAACGACGGGACCTGATCCTAGATCATTTGTGAAGCTTTGTGAATATGGGTGCTGTTTTTTATTTTGACAACTTTTTATGGCCATGAGTGTGAAATTACAACTACTATCATTTTCCAACTACTACACATCCTTATTGTATGTTTTTTTTGTGTGTTTCTTTTTTTGTCTGCAGGCATTCGGCAACGAAAGGCATCGTCATCGCCATGATTTGCACATTCTTCGAAGCCTTCAATGTGCCAGTGTTCTGGCCCATACTCGTAATGTACTTCATCATGCTTTTCTGCATCACCATGAAGAGGCAGATCAAGGTATGGGAAACCCAGTGACACTGCTGCTGACTCTTCATGATAGTCGCTTCAGACGCGTCATAGCTAGATGTACAGTCGCTAGTGAAAGTCTACACACCCCTTGCACAGTCAGTCATCACATTATCACATTTTGCTGCCTTAAAATTAAATCTAAAAAGGGAATAAGTTGTTTCTTTTTCCTACTGATCTACACAACCTACTCCACATTTTCAAAGTAAAGACAAATTATAGAATATTTTCTTAATTAATATTTTAAAAAGAAAACGAAGATGTCTTGATTGCATATGTCTTCACACCCCAGAGTTGATACTTGGTGGAAGCACCTTTGGCAACAGATGTGAATAATTTTGAATAAGATTCTACCAACGTTGTACAACTCTTAGGGCAACATTTATCCATTGTTTTGGTCCTAATTGTGTAGCCCTTTACATTCGTACGTGAATGGTTGTGTCCTCACCTTTTGGTCTAATAATTTTCCCATACTCTCCAAACTGTTCCCTTTACATTGCAACCATGCTTATGCATTTCATATTTCTTCGGTAGGAAACATTTCAATTTAGCCCTATTCATAGAGGCCAATTCCCATGAGTGTAAACAATTAAGCTTAGTACATTTGGTTAAGAATCATTGATGAACAGCAATATTTAAACCTTGTCTCTGATTTTTAAGCTAATTTACGTCAGGACTGAGACTGGACCCCTCAGGAAATTCAATTGATTGGACATGATTTGGAAAGGCACACACCTGTCTATATAAGGTCCCACAGTTGACAGTGCATGTCAGAGCAAAAACCAAGCCATGAGGTCGAAGGGATTTTCCGTAGAGCTCCGAGACAGGATTGTGTCGAGGCAGTGATCTGGGGAAGGGTACCAAAAAATGTCTGCAGCATTGAAGGTCCCCAAGAACACAGTGGCCTCCATCATTCTTAAATGGAAGTTTGGAACCACCAAGACTCTTCCTAGAGCTGGCTGCCCGGCCAAACTGAGCAATCGGAGGAGAAGGGCCTTGGTCAGGGAGGTGACCAAGAACCCGATGGTCACTCTGACAGAGCTCTAGAGTTCCTCCGTGGAGATGGGAGAACCTTCCAGAACAACAATTATCTCTGCAGCACTCCATCAATCAGACCTTTATGGTAGAGTGGCCAGAGGGAAGCCACTCCTCAGTAAAAGGCACATGACAGCCCACTTGGAGTTTGCCAAAAGGCACCTAAAGACTCTCAAACCAACAGAAACAGTATGAAGAAAAAAAAATTATGCACTCACTAACTGTAAGTCGCTCTGGATAAGAGCGTCTGCTAAATGACTAAAATGTAATCAAGACTCTATGGTCTGATGAAACCAAGATTGAACTCTTTAGCCTGAATGCCAAGCGTCACGTCTGGAGGAAACCTGGCACCATCTTTACGGTGAAGCATGGTGATGGCAGCATCATGCTGTGGGGATGTTTTTCAGCGGCAGGGACTGGGAGACTAGTCAGGATCGAGGGGGAAATTGAACGGAGCAAAGTACAGAGAGATCCTTGATGAAAACCTGCTCCAGAGCGCTCAGGACCTCAGACTTGGGTGAAGGTTAATCTTTCAACTGGACATCAACCCTAAGCACACAGCCAAGACAACGCAGGAGTGGCTTCGGGTCAAGTCTCTGAATGTCTTTGAGTGGCCCAGCCAGAGGCCGGAATTGAACCCGATCTAACATCTCTGGAGAGACCTGAAAATAGCTGTGCTGCGACGCTCCCCATCCAACCTGACAGAGATTGAGAAGAATGGGAGAAACACCCCAAATACAGGGTCTGAATACTTATGTAAAATGTGATATTTCGTTTTATTTTTTATAAATTTGCAACAATTTCTAAACCTGTTTTTGCTTTGTCATTATGGGATATTGTGTCTAGATTGATGGGGAAAAAAACAATTTTATCCATTTTTAGAATAAGGCTCTAAAGTCAAGGGGTCTGAATACTTTCCAAATGCACTGTATATACAAACTATATACACACTCACTCACACAAACTACATTGATACTCCCACACAAAACCCACACACATTCACATACACTACATACGAACACTTTACCCTGCCTTCATGTAAACTCAGCAAAAAAAGAAACGTCCCTTTTTCAGGACCCTGTCTTTCAAAGATAATTTGTAAAAATCCAAATAACTTCACAGATCTTCATTGTAAAGGGTTTAAACACTGTTTCCCATGCTTGTTCAATGAACCATAAACCATTAATTAACATGCACCTGTGGAATGGTCGTTAAGACACTAACAGCTTACAGACGGTAGGCAATTAAGGTCACAGTTATGAAAACTTAGGACACTAAAGACGCCTTTCTACTGACTCTGAAAAACACAAAAATAAAGATGCCTAGAGTCCCTGCTCATCTGCGTGAACGTGCCTTAGGCATACTGCAAGGAGGCATGAGGACTGCAGATGTGACCAGGGCAATAAATTGCAATGTCCATACTGTGAGACGCCTAAGACAGCGCTACAGGGAGACAGGACGGACAGCTGATCGTCCTTGTAACAACACCTGCACAGGATCGGTACATCTGAACATCACACCTGCGGGACAGGTACAGGATGGCAACAACAACTGCCCGAGTTCCAACAGGAACGCACAATCCCTCCATCAGTGCTCAGACTGTCCGCAATAGGCTGAGAGAGGCTGGACTGAGGGCTTGTAGGCCTGTTGTAAGGCAGGTCCTCACCAGACATCACCGGCAACAACGTCGCCTATGGGCACAAACCCGCTGTCGCTGGACCAGACAGGACTGGCAAAAAGTGCTCTTCACTGACGAGTCACGGTTTTGTCTCACCAGGGGAGATGGTCGGATTCGCGTTTATCGTCGAAGGAATGAGCGTTACACCGAGGCCTGTACTCTGGAGCGGGATCGATTTGGAGGTGGAGGGTCCGTCATGGTCTGGGGCGGTGTGTCACAGCATCATCGGACTGAGCTTGTTGTCATTGCAGGCAATCTCAACGCTGTGCGTTACAGGGAAGACATCCTCCTCCCTCATGTGGTACCCTTCCTGCAGGCGCATCCTGATATGACCGTCCAGCATGACAATGCCACCAGCCATACTGCTTGTTCTGTGCGTGATTTCCTGCAAGACAGGAATGTCAGTGTTCTGCCATGGCCAGCGAAGAGCCCGGATCTCAATCCCATTGAGCACGTCTGGAACCTGTTGGATCGGAGGGTGAGGGCTAGGGCCATTCCCCCCAGAAATGTCCGGGAACTTGCAGGTGCCTTGGTGGAAGAGTGGGGTAACGTCTCACAGCAAGAACTGGCATATCTGGTGCAGTCCATGAGGAAGAGATGCACTTCAGTACTTAATGCAGCTGGTGGCCACACCAGATACTGACTGTTACTTTTGATTTTGACCCCCCCATTTGTTCAGGGACACATTATTCAATTTCTGTTAGTCACATGTCTGTGGAATTTGTTCAGTTTATGTCTCAGTTGTTGTTATGTTCATACAAATATTTACTCATGTTAAGTTTGCTGAAAATAAACGCAGTTGACAGTGATCTGGTACTGGTACTCCCTGTATATTGGTCCATTCTTGTGCATTTTATTTTATTCTTGTTACTATTTTATTTATATTTTTAAACTCTGCATTGTTGGGAAGGGCTCGTGACAAGCATTTCATGGTAAAGTCTATACCAGTTGTATTCGGCGCATGTGACATAAAATTTGATTTGATTTTAATTGTCCCGCTTACAAATTAAACTCTATCCCAGGATTAGTTTTCAGACGACTGAGGCGTGTTTTCCTTAAACTTTTGAGAAACATGCACATGACATGGTGCTGCCGCCACATTACTTGAAAATACCAAATTTACTGAGCTTGAGCAATTTTGACAAAAACAATGGATATATACACTGTGTACAAAACATTAAGAACATCTTCCTAAAATGTAGTTTTAACAAGTGACATCAATAAGGGATCATAGTTTTCACCTGGTCAGTCTGTCATGGAAAGAGCAGGGGTTCCTAATGTTTTGTACAGTCAGTGTATGTTGCCCTAAGAGTTGTGCAAAGTTGATAAAATCTTATTCCACATTATTCACAGCTGTAATGGCTGCCAAATATGTATTCCACCAAGTCTTAACTCTGGGGTGTGAAGACTCACACAATCAAGACATCTTTGTTATTTTTTATTAATTTGGAACTTTTTCTATAATTTTTCTTTCACTTTCAGAATGTGTAGGTTGTGTACATCGGTAGGGGAAAAAATCACAATAGTAATACATTTTTACATTTTAATTGTAAAGCAGCAAAATGTGAACTGTGCTGTGACTTTCACTGTTACTTTCTTTGTGAATTACTTTGTGGCTAACTCTGTCTTTTCTCCTACCTCCAGCATATGGTCAAGTACAGATACCTACCCTTCACGCACGGGAAGAGGACTTACAGAGGCAAGGAAGACACAGGGAAACCTTTTGCTAGTTAAAATCAAACCCTCCCCCCCCCCCCCCTACCCCCCATTCAAAAATTAAAAGTTATGGAAAAATAGTATATGGTGGGAACAGGGGTCAGTGATTGTCTGTGAGGGGATTGAAAAAAAAAAGAGAAACTGAAAAGAGTTTTGATCCAAAATGGTGACCGTGATGGATGTTATTAGTGCTGAGGATTGCTGTAGTCACAAGAGAACACTCTGCCTTTGGTTATTATGGGGATAGGAGTTGGCGAGCCATCTCGCAGCCGCGGGATAACATTGTCTTTGGTCAGTGGATGAAACGCAATGTCGCCCTTTGCCTTGTAACCCCATGGGGTAAGTATAAACTCTGCTAGAGGGGGCGGCACTGGACGAATTTCAGTAGAAATTTCAGTTGTGGATTCTTAACGACTATCCCTTTCCAACTGCTGTGCTCTGCTCTGTCTCCAAGCAAAGTAACATTTTGCCAACTACTTTTGATTTGAAGACTTGGTACCTACTCGTTTATGACATGTAATTATGAGAAGTCCTTAGGATTAGAATGAAATAACGATAAGATGTAAAATTTTGAAATTGAAGTAAATATGAAATATTTAAATTGATGAATGATGTGTCTCTGTGATCAAGTGTGTTTTTGCACCGGCTTGAAAGGTCCCCCCCCCCCACCAACCTACATTTGTCCACTGTATTTTAATGCAGTTCATTTTTAATGACTGGTTATGCTTCACTTGAACAAGGATTCACTAGCTACATACAATACCTATCATACTGTAACTATACGGAACCATAATCCAACCATCTCTTTATGGCAAAAGCAGTGATTTATGTATAGGAGGTTGGCTAGATAAGTCAGCTAAGAGTGCAAATCACTGCATGGCCAGGACAGAGTTGGTGTACTCTCCAGAGAATAAACCATCATGGAGGATTATGAAATGTTTCATGTCATGTTTTTTAATGTACAGTGAGGTTAAAGAATGCCTCGTTCAAGTTAAGTGTTGCTGATTTATTAAAATGTGTTCTTGTTTAGCTCTACGTAGCCATATCCCTTTGTGTTTAGTCCATCTGCTTTCCCATCATGTCGAAAGACGCTTTGCTTGTACAGTTGAAGAGAAATATAATACTGTGTCATTCAGCACTCCTGGAAACTAAATGATAGAGATTACTTTATGGAGGTGGCATCTAGCTATGGACGATCCAATCAAGTTAAACCTCAGATTTTTGCTATGCACCCCCTGTGAATATAATTTAAATTCTTCATTTTTTGGTGTTTAGATTTCTTAAAGTAACTGTCCAGTGTTTCCAGATTTCTATGAAATATGACCTGTAATTAATTACAATAGGAATGAAATAGTTTTCCTTCCAACATTTTTTTATTTAGTATGTAAAACAGCTACTTTTCTGTGTTTGTAATGGTGTGGGCGTATACCGGTCATAAAAAACATTAAAGTAAACCGCTGATTGGCCAGCTCATCCTCAGGTGGATGACAACATCCTCCATGAGGAAATGGCTAGTATTTTTTTTTAAAGGTGTGAATGACAAGTATGAGGTGGGGTTTTTGAAGTGTTCAAAAAAAATTTTTTTTCTCCAATTTATGCTTTGGCAACAAATACGAGTATAGGATGAGTCAACATTATTTGTGTAAGAGTTAACAGAAAAGTTTGATTTTCTCTGGACAGTTACTTTAAAATGTACTTTATAGTATCATATCTGTGTTTATAATTATTATTTCCTTCCAAAAAAGGTTACCCCCTGAAATAACCTATACACTAAGACCAACTTTTTAGAAACGGGTCCATTACATGCAAATATAGTAGCCTTGATACACTCACATTCTGTGTTTTACTTTAGACAAATATGTGGTAATAGTCTAATCATTCCAAACAAAAATATTTTCTCTTTCTCTTCTTTTGCAGAGGAAACATAAGAAAAATTGAGATTGAGAGCTTTTAATGTAACAAATGGATGAAGGGGGTTGTGAACACATTTTTTTTTGGCCCCCATCACTCACATTTTTGGCCATTTTTATCAGTATGCCAGCCGGGTATCTTATGAAAAGTGTGCAGTAGTATTTTTGGTAACCAGAGAGACATTTTGGAAGACCTTTGATCAGCACTGTAGAGAAGGATCAGAACATTTTTTTCCTGTCAAAGTACATCATTTTTCCAAGGGTTGTCTTGCGGATTTATATATAATGTAAAGATAAAATTTGTTTAGAGATTATTTTGAACATGTTATTTTTTTCTTCAAACATAATAGCCTACTATTTCCAAGTGTTCAATTCATCGTATGCCATTAAAAAAAAATGAATGAAAACAAAACTGGTGAAATTGGATTCTAGATTTATAAACTGTTTCTCAAGAAAGAGATGGCATGTTCTTATTTTTTCTTGTGCAGCAATTATAAACAAAACTTGATTTTAATAACTTTAAGTGTAATTTTTTTCACTCCAAATGCTATTAAAGAAACTGTCCCTTCTAATGAGGTGTGGCTGTTTCTGCTTCATGTTTGGGACCGCTGACATTTGTCTGTTAACTTTCATCCATTTCTGCTTTTAGAAATAACTATTACATTGCTACATGTGTATTACTGTATGAGGTATATTGTGCATCTATTCACTGACTCATCTTGTGTTGGGAAAACAAGTCCATTAATCAATGTGCAAATATTGCATTTGCAGAAAGGATGGAGCTTGTCATGGTACATTTGACCCACCTGGGTAGGGTTGGACAGTGAAATCAATCAATGCACTCAGTGCCAACTCCTTTACCACACCATTCATCCTTTAGATCAGTACCAGCAATTCATGGCAATTTGATTTTTCACTTCGGGTCATGGATTTCCTGTTCAGTGCTGCACATTTGCTTCCAGTCTGACTGTGAGGAACACCTGGCTGATGTAATGGTGCATATAAAATCATTGCATGTAAAACAACCCTATGTAAAGTGGGGGAGCCATCTTCACCAGTACCTGAGCATTTGGTGTGGACACAGGCCCTCTGGTCTTCTCAGACTGACTACAACGATGAAACATCTCCTGGCCTTGCTGGTAATGCTGGGGTCTTTTCAGCATGCCTTACCTGAATCATATTCTTGCTCAGCCTCAGAGTTTAAACTAGATGGAGAATACATACTGGGAGGCCTTTTCGACATTCATCATGGCAGCAGCTCAGTTCCTTACAACCGACCGGAGACTGTGGATTGCTCTCGGTGAGTCCTGTAGCAAACCATTCAACATACCTTTCAGCCTTCAGGGAACTCTTATCTCTGGTCCTGGAGGTACCGGGCATGCAGTTTTTCTTCCAGACCAATATGAACACAACCAATTTAATTAAGCAATGTTCGTACTGAAGACCAAGTTCATTGTCAACTTGTTTTAGTGTTGGGTTGAAATAAAAGCCTGCATACCCAGTACCGCTCCAGGAACGGAGTTGGAGACACCTGAGTTCAATCATAACACTTCCATGTAAGTAACGTGAAATGTTATAGTACTGTAAATGTATTATACCAAATGTTTAACCTCACTTAAAGGAGCAATCTGCAGTTCAAACAATAAAGTGGTTACCCCACCTCTGTTTTGGTAAATACCTGAGGGATGGGGCTGGAGAAATGGAGGTAAGGACTGACCCTCCATGAGATCAAAATTATAGTTTTAACCATGTTTTGAGGCTATACAGTGTTTGGTAAAAAATGGTATATGTTGGGTTCTGATGGGGTACCACGTAGTGATGGGCATTCCAAGTATTTTCAGTAAAACGGCTCATTTGGTTTCGTTCAGCTAGTTACTAGTTACCTGTCAAATTGTAATCAGTAATGTAATCTGATAACTTTCCGTTACTTTTGGATTACTTTCCATTACATTAGAAGACAAAAAGGATCCAGCAAACGCATTTGGTGTGTCATAATAGTGGTCTCTGACTTGTGGTCAGACTCGCTCAGGTGGAACATAGACTTGCAAATTTTTTCAATGCTGAATTGAATGTCATTGAGAAAACAGAAAGGTGACAATGTATTTTTTCCCGCAAACATCCTTTCTGAATTTCAAAGTAATCCAAGAAGTAATCCTAGTTTTTCAAAAGTATCTAATCTGATTACAATATTTTTGGCGTTAACATAACTGGTTAGTTTTTTTGTAATCAGATTACATGCAACTGATTACATGTCCTCAGTTACTCCTAAACCGTCTTTGCCTGCAATTATGTCAGAACGTGATATGTGAGTTCTATTTTTTTTTTACCTGAACTAATTATTAGGTGGCCTGCAAAAAAAAACAGAAAAACAATTAAAGCACTGCAAAAATGTGTGTGGACCAGAAAAAGTATCTCTCCTCACTATCTATTGTCCTGCAGTGAGGAATTACAATCTTCGGAGAATGTTTTTATAACTTATCTGCAGATAATCGTTGTCTGGAGCTCAAAATCAGTAGTAGCAGTATGCAAATCAGGGAGCCAAATGAACGGCTCTTTTACAGATGCGATTCAGTTCATGATGTTCAGCCAAAAGAGCCATTCAAAAAGAGCCGTTCGTTCGTGAACGACCCATCACTATTCGACAGTTGAACTAAGCTCATGAAATAATTTATAAGAGTAAGTTATAAGAATCAATGGGTATATATCATTCATTTAAAAGTCAAAAAAATGGATGTACTTATCGCAGATTGACACTTTGAAGGGAACGACACTGCTGCTACTCGCTGTTTATTATCTATGCATAGTCACTTTACCCCTACCTACGTGTACAAATTACCTCGACTAACCTGTACCCCTGCACATTGACTCGGTACCGGTACCCCCTGTATATAGCCTCGATATTGTTATTTTATTTTTATTTCTTGAACTGCATTGTTGGTTAAGGCCTTGTAAGTAAGCATTTCACAGTAAGGTCTACACCTGTTGTATTAGGTGCATGTGACAAACAAAATTTGATTTGATTTGATAAACAGCCACCACAAACTTCAGCTAACTTTAACCACTGCTAGCTAAAAATCAATCAAGTGATTGGGGTATGTGGCACATGATAAAAGAGTGGCCAAATCACCTTTTAAAGTAATATTGAACCAAATACTTGAGTTGATTACATTTTTGCCATATGTACCCCAATCACTTGATTGATTTTTAGCTAGCAGTGGTTAAAGTTAGCTGAAGTTTGTGGTGGCTGTTTATCAAATCAAATCACTCCCACTGTTTTTAACTGTTGGCTAAAGTTTGCTGAAGTTTGTAATGGCTGTTTTTACCTTCTTGAACAGCAATAGCTCAGATACACATGGAAACATGAAATGACCCTGGGAATTGATAGAACATCACTCAGAGATGCACATAACAATATATAACATTCAAAATGGGTGACTTTGTTAAAGGGGAAGTTTAGTATTTTACAACTTAAAGGAAAGATTCCTTTAAGTTGTAAAATACTAAACTTCCCCTTTAACAAAGTAAGTTGACAAATTAGGTGAAACCGCAGTATGTGAAGTGAATAAACATTTCAAATTGCATATGCCAGTAGTCACACCAGGAAAAATCAACTCATTTTCTGTGTACACACTGTTCCTCTTTCCACAGACAGTCGTTTACCATGTCAAGTTATCGGATGTTTCAGGTGATGAGGTTTGCTGTACAAGAGATCAATAACTCCAGCCTCATCCTGCCCAATGTATCGCTCGGTTATGAGATATTCGACCACTGCTCAGACACATTCAACTTTCAGTCAATTTTGGATATGATCTCCAGAAATGGATCAATTCAAGTTCTGAGGTGCGTCAACGAGTATCTGTCCAAAGTCATAGCTGTGGCCGGTCCATTTAGAAGCATGGAGTCCATGACTGTTGCTCCCTTGTTTGCGATGAATCTAATTCCAATGGTAATACATACTTACATTAAGTCATTTTGATCACTTTAAATAAGTATATTAGGGCTGGGGTACACCTGGAGAGCTACTGGGTGTGCAGGCATTTGTTCCAGCCCTGCTCTAACATCAGGATCTTGATTAACTGAATCAGGCGTGTTAGAGCATAGCTGGAATACAATTCTGCACTCCTAGTAGCTCTCTATGAGGAGGGTTGAGTAGGTCACCACCCTATTGGGTTATTCTTGTCTATGTTTGTCTAAAATGGAAATCTCTTTCTTCACAGGTAAATTATGGGTCCTCTAGTTCTGTTTTAAGTGAGAAGTGGAAATATCCCTCATTCATGCGAACCACACCAAGTAACAAAGACTTAATACATCTGATCATTCTGATTATACAGCATTTTAATTGGAACTGGGTTGCATTCATCAGCAGCAGCGACGAGAACAGTCAAAATGGCCTACAGCTGTTCAAAAGCAAGCTGGAAGACACTAAGATCTGCTTAGCTTACGCAAAAGAGCTCAATGAAATGTCTGATCACTATGAAATACTTCAACAGTTAGAGGGTCTTAACATAGAGGTCATTATAGTTTTTGCCGGGCAGAGCAGCGCTGTTGCATTCATTAAATCAGCAATCAAGCACAACATACACAACAAAGTGTGGATCGCAAGCGACACTTGGTCCTTGAACAAGAAACTCCCCAAGTTGAGCGGAATCAAGGCGATTGGCACCATCATTGGAATAACAGAGACAGTGATGTCATTACCTGGGTTTAAGAATTTTGTCTATTTGTCCCAAACACAAAGGAATGATAGGCCTACAACATGTGAGCAAACACCATCCGGACAAACATGCAATCAAGCTTGTGACCTCTGTAGGGATGTGAGCCCAGAAGAGATCATCGGTGAAAACCCATCATATTCTTTCGCCATTTACTCTGCCATTTATGCTATGGCCCACGCATTACATAAATTGTTACTATGTGACATCAAGGGATGCAGTGACAATGTAACTGTGTATCCATTTATGGTAAGCATTTGAAGCGTTGCATATACACTACATGGCCAGAAGTATGTGGACACCTGCTTGTCCAAATTCTCCTTCCAAAATCATGGGCATTAATATGGAGTTGGTCCCCCCTTTGCTGCTATAACAGCCGCCACTCTTCTGGGAAGGCTTTCCACTAGATGTTGGAACATTGCTGCGGGGACTTGCTTCCATTCAGCCACAAGAGCATTAGTGAGGTCGGGCCCTGATGATGGGTGATTAGGCCTGGCTCGCAGTCAGTGTTCCAATTTATCCCCAATGGTGTTTGATGGGGTTGAGTTCAGGGCTCTGTGCAGGCCAGTCAAGTTCTTCCACACTGATCTCGACAAACCATTTCTGTATGGACCTCGCTTTGTGCACGTGGGCATTGTCATGCTGAAACAAAAAAGGGCCTTCCCCAAACTGTTGCCACAAAGTTGAAGCACAGAATAGTCTAGAATGTCATTGTATGCTGTAGCGTTAAGATTTCCCTTCACTGGAACTAAGGGGCCTAGCCCGAACCATGAAAAACAGGGACTGATGATTTTTACGCGCTTCAGCACTCGGTGTACCCATTCTGTGAGCTTGTGTGGCCTACCACTTCACGGCTGAGCCATTGTTGCTCCTAGACGTTTACACTTCACAATAATAGCACTTACAGTTGACCGGGGCAGCTCTAGTAGGGCAGAAATTTGACGAACACACTAAATCCACTAATTTGAAGGGGTGTCCACATACTTTTGGCCATGTAGTGTACTTGTTTGAAGAGAAATGGCATTACAATATTGAAGAATACATCAATTGAAAGGATGCATCTAGGCTACACTTGTGATAAATGAGGTGATCGGGAGGCTGGAGTGCGTCTTTCAAGGTAGACTTAGCAATATGACATCATCATACACTGCAGGGCAACTTCCCGCTTACAGACAACAACAGCAATAGAAACAACATTTTAATCTGCCAGGACAGCCATTACTAGCTTGCTCTAATTTGTGGCCTCACTTCGGGCATGCCCATATGTCCACATTTGGAAAAGCCAGTTGTGGCAGTTTTTGTTGTCTGTAATCAAAACCGTACCCCAATGTGTATGATGTTGTCATTGCTAAGTTTACCTTTAAATGTCCACACAAAGGTGTGAACCTTTGAAAGTGTGAATCAGTAGTGAATAATCCCTATAACATTGTTATAGTGTTTACACACCACAAATGTTCTTGCAACACTACATTCTTGTCTGATTTCAGCTTCTCCAAGAATTAAAGAGGTCAAAATTCACACTATTGAACCGGCATATTGAGTTTGACAACAATGGAGACCCGACATCTACTTCTTATGCTATTGTTTTCTGGAACCAGAGTGGCCAGGCCCAGAAAGTGGGCTCTTATGAAACTGATCCAACAGTTGACGTTTCCTTCTCTATCAGCAACACAAAAATTCACTGGTATACTGACCAAGTAAGTCATTTTCCTGGTTTTAATAAATCATAAATCCTTAATGAATTATATTTTTCTATTTTACATGTATAATAAAGGCCATTTGATCATAACACACATTTGGTCTTTCTAAGGTGCCTGTCGCACGCTGTTCCCCTGAATGTTCAGAGGGATTTGCAAAGAAAAAAGATGGACTACATGATTGTTGTTTCCAGTGTAACGTCTGCCCCAGTATGACTTATGTTAACTACACAGGTAAGAGGTCCAGAGATAAAGAGAGAAATCTTCTTGGATTATGGTGTTCATGGACACTCATGGGGGTTAAAGTAAGGTTGAAGAAAAGGAATATGACATTATTTATGTATATTTTTGTTTCAGCTGTTTATGGTGTTTTACTTCCTACTAGAAAACATACTTCACACCTGGTCCAAATGTTACCGTAGACCTACTAATTATGTCCTCATGCGCTCTTCCACTGGAGATGATAAAATGTATGTATGATGCCTGGCTGATCATTGATTATCGTCTTCTTGCCAAACAGACGACCCATACAGCTGTGTCGACTGTAGGAAGACAGAGTGGTCCAAACCAGGAAGCACCTTTTGCACACAACGTTCAGTGGAGTATATACCTTTCACAGACCCTGTCGCCATCACACTCATGTTTTCCACAGGCGTCCTGTTAGCACTAACACTAGCCATTGTCATTCTTTTTGCTCTCAACTATGACAAGCCGGTTGTTAAGTCTGCCGGTGGGCCAATGTGTTTCCTTCTTCTGGGCTGCTTGAGTGCAAGTAGTATAAGTGTGTTCTTTTTCTTTGGGAAACCAACAGTGACCAATTGTGTGTTGAGGTATTTTCTATTTTTGCTGTTCTACACTGTCTGTTTAGGCTGTTTTGCTGTGCGCTCCTTTCAAATAGTTTGCATTTTCAAAATGGCCGCCAAGTTCCCTAAGATTCACAGGTGGTGGGTGAAGCAGAATGGACAGGTGTGGGTCATCGCCATAGTCTTTGTTCTTCAGCTGTTGTTGCTTACAACAGTGTTCACTGCCAGCCCTCCCACACCAGTCAATGACATGACATCATACCGAGATCAAATAATACTAAAGTGTGCCATGAGAAGATCATTGATCGTGTTCTTGTTATTGACTATAGTCCTGGCAAGCCTTTGCTTTATTTTCTCATACATTGGAAAAGACCTGCCCAAAAACTACAACGAGTCCAAAGCAATCATCTTGTACCTGCTTTTCCTTATACTTACATGGATCACTTTCTGCACAGTAAGCATATCATACCATGGTAAATATATACAGTTATTCAATGCAATATCAGTGCTTTCCAGTATATACAGCATCCTCTTCTGCTACTTTCTCCCTAAGTGCTACATCATTATCTTTCAGCCCCATAAAAATACACAACAGTATTTCCAAGGGATCATCCAACGTTACACTCAAAACATCAGTAGTAAGTAGTTGAAAATAGTGCATTTCAACTGTTTTACTGAATCAAGGAAATGCTTTTTTTGCTAGAATTGTTTACTTGACTGAATTTATAATGGATTAAATTGAGATTTTGTGCCGCTGGCCTACACACAATACCCCATAATGTCGAAGCGGTATTATGTTTTTAGAAATGTTTACTAATGAATAAAAAATGAAAAGCTGAAATGTCTTGAGTCAGTAAGAATTCAACCCCTTTGTTATGGCAATCCTAAATAAGTTCAGGAGTAAAATGTTGCTTAACAAGTCACGTAATAAGTTGCATGGACTCACTCTGTGTGCAATAATAGTGTTTAACTGGATTTTTGCATGACTACTTCATCTCTGTACCCCACACAAACAATTATCTATAAGGTCCTTCAATTGAGCAGGGAATTTCAAACACAGATTCAACCACAAAGACCAGGGAGGTTTTCCAATACCTTGCAAAAAAGGGCACCTATTGTATATGGGTAACAATAAAAAAAAAGCAGACAATGAATATCCCTTTGAGCATGCTGAAGTTATTAATTACACTTTGGATGGTGTATCAATCAGTGGAGACTGTTGAGGGGAGGACGGCTCATAATAACGTCTGGAATGGAGTAAATGGAATGGCATCAAACACATGGAAACCATGTGATTGATATATTTGATAACATTCCACCTATTAAGGTGCCACCAACCTCCTGTGGTATCAATACACCCAGTCACTACGAAAATACAGGTGTCTTTCCTAACTCAGTTGCCGGAGAGGAATGAAACTGCTCAGGGATTTCACTGTGAGGCCAATGATGACTTTAAAACAGTTACAGACTTTAATGGCTGTGATAGGTGAAAACTGAGGACGGATCAACAACATTGTAGTTACTCCACAATACTAACCTAAATGACAGAGTGAAAAGAAGAAAGCCTGTACACAATAAAAAATATTCCAAAACATGCATCCTGCTTGCAATAAGGCACTAAAGTAAAACTGCAAAAAATGTGGCAAAGTGTTATGTTTGGAGCAAATCCAACACAACACATCACTGAGTACCACTCTTCATATTTTCAAGCATGGTGGTGGCTGCATCATATTATGGGTATGCTTGTCATCGGCAAGGACTAGGGAGTTTTTTAGGATAAAAGAAACAGAATAAAGCTAAGTACAGGCAAAATCCTAGAGGAAAACCCTGGTTCAGTCTGCTTTCCACCAGACACTGGGAGACAAATTCACCTTTCAGCAGGACAATAACATAAAACACAAGGCCAAATATACACCTGGAGTTGCTTAACAAGATGGACATTGAATGTTCCTGAGTGGCCTAGTTACAGTTTTGACTTAAATTGGCTTGTAAATCTATGGCAAGACTTGAAAATGGCTGTCTAGCGAGGATCAACAACCAACTTGACAGAGCTTGAAGAATTTTAAAAAGAATAATGCTCCAAATATTGTACAATCCAGGTGTGCAAAGCTCTTAGAGACTAACCCAGAAAGGCTCACAGCTGTAATCGCTGCCAAAGGTGATTCAAACATGTATTGACTCAGGGGTGTGACTTCTTATGTAAATTAGATATTTATGTATTTCATTTTGAATACATTAGCAAAAATGTCTAAAAACATGTTTTCACTTTGTCATTATGTGGTATTGTGTGTAGATGGGTGAAAATACCAAATCTATTTAATCAATTTAGAATTCAGGCTGTAACACAACAAAATGTGGAATAAGTCAAGGGGTATGAACACTTTCTGAAGGCACTGTATTTATGCTGGTATCATTTATACCTATAATACATTTTCATATAAGTATTAGTATCTAAAATAAGGGTTAAGTAGGCTCGCATATTGCATAATTTTATCATGAGTCTTAGGCCTATCAAAGCAAATTGTCATTATGCTGCAAAAGTTTGAAGTAAATGTACTCCTTATGTTCTCCTTGTGTGCTTTTTATCCTGTTACACTTAAGCTGCCTTAGACAGGCAGTCCAATTCTGAATTGGCAGCCCAATTATTGGCAAAATAGCTGATCTGATTGGTCAATACATCAATTAGTGGAAGAATATCAGAATTTGGCTGCCTGTTTAAACGGAGCCAATCACACTTTTGATGTGTAAAGTATACACATTATTTTACCAGAGGATGGCGCCAGTAGACCTTGACACTAAATAAACTGGGTGGGCATGTAAAACAAAGTCAAATTATTCTAGAATGATTGTTTTAGATCACTCAATTATCTTAATGCACTAAGTTAAAACTCAGTTTCAATTTTGTGTATATTTGCACATTCTTGAAATTGGTCAATTACACTACATGACCAAAAGTATGTGGACACCTGCTCGTCCAACATCTCCTTCCAAAATCATAGTCATTAATATGGAGTTGGTCCCCCATTTGCTGCTATAACAGCCTCCACTCTTCTGGGAAGGCTTTCCACTAGATGTTGGAACATTGCTGCGGGGACTTTGCTTCCATTCAGCCACAAGAGCATTAGTGAGATCGGGCACTGATGTTAGGAGATTAGGCCTGGCTCGCAGTCTGTGTTCCAATTCATCCCAAAGGTGTTCAATGGGGTTGAGGTCAGAGCTCTGTGCAGGCCAGTCAAGTTCTTTCACACCGATCTCACAAACCATTTCTGTATGGACCTCGCTTTGTGCACGTGGGCATTGTCATGCTGAAACAGGAAAGGGCCTTGCCCAAACTGTTGCCACAAAGTTGGAAGTACAGAATCGTCTAGAATGTAATTGTAAGCTGTAGCGTTAAGATTTACCTTCACTGGAACTAAGGGGCCTAGTCCGACCCATGAAAAACAGCCCCAGATCATTATTCCTTCTCCACCAAACTTTACAGTTGGCACTATGCATTGGGGCTGGTAGCGTTCTCCTGGCATCCGCCAAACCCAGATTCGTCCATCGGACTACCAGATGGTGAAGCGTGATTCATCACTCCAGAGAATGCGTGGCGAGCTTTACACCACTCCAGCCGACACTTGGCATTGCGCATGGTGATCTTAGGCTTGTGTGCGGTTGCTTGGACATGGAAACCCATTTCATGAAGCTCCCTGACTAACAGTTATTGTGCTGACGTTGCTTCCAGAGGCAACTCGGTAGTGAGTGTTGCGACCGAGGACAGACGATTTTTACGTGCTAAGCGCTTCAGCACTCGTCGGCCCTGTTCTGTGAGCTTGTGTGGCCTACCACTTCGCAGCTGAGCCGTTGTTAATCCTAGACGCTTCCACTTCACAATAACAGCACTAACAGTTGACTGGGGCAGCTCTAGCATGGCAGAAATTTTATGAACTGACTTGTTGGAAAGGTGGCATCCTATGATGGTGCCGCGTTGAAAGTCACTGAGCTCTTCAGTAAGGCCATTCTACTGCCAATGTTTGTCTATGGAGATTGCATGGCTATGTGCTCGATTTTATACACCTCTCAGCAACGTGGTGTTGCTGAAATGGCCAAATCCACTAATTTGAAGGGGTGTCCACATACTTTTGTATATACAGTGGGGGTGGAAAGTATTTAGTCAGCCACCAATTGTGCAAGTTCTCCCACTTAAAAAGATGAGAGAGGCCTGTAATTTTCATCATAGGTACACGTCAACTATGACAGACAAAATGAGAAAAAATAATCCAGAAAATCACATTGTAGGATTTTTTATGAATTTATTTGCAAATTATGGTGGAAAATAAGTATTTGGTCAATAACAAAAGTTTCTCAATACTTTGTTATATACCCTTTGTTGGCAATGACACAGGTCAAACGTTTTCTGTAAGTATTCACAAGGTTTTCACACACTGTTGCTGGTATTTTGGCCCATTCCTCCATGCAGATCTCCTCTAGAGCAGTGATGTTTTGGGGCTGTCGCTGGGCAACACGGACTTTCAACTCCCTCCAAAGATTTTCTATGGGGTTGAGATCTGGAGACTGGCTAGGCCACTCCAGGACCTTGAAATGCTTCTTACGAAGCCACTCCTTCGTTGCCCGGGCGGTGTGTTTGGGATCATTGTCATGCTGAAAGACCCAGCCACGTTTAATCTTCAATGCCCTTGCTGATGGAAGGAGGTTTTCACTCAAAATCTCACGATACATGGCCCCAAAGCATGATGTTTCCACCCCCATGCTTCACAGTAGGTATGGTGTTCTTTGGATGCAACACAGCATTCTTTGTACTCCAAACACGACGAGTTGAGTTTTTACCAAAAAGTTATATTTTGGTTTCATCTGACCATATGACATTCTCCCAATCCTCTTCTGGATCATCCAAATGCACTCTAGCAAACTTCAGACGGGCCTGGACATGTACTGGCTTAAGCAGGGTGACACATCTTGCGCTGCAGGATTTGAGTCCCTGGCAGCGTAGTGTGTTACTGATGGTAGGCTTTGTTACTTTGGTCCCAGCTCTCTGCAGGTCATTCACTAGGTCCCCCCGTGTGGTTCTGGGATTTTTGCTCACCGTTCTTGTGATCATTTTGACCCCACGGGGTGAGATCTTGCGTGGAGCCCCAGATTGAGGGAGATTATCAGTGGTCTTGTATGTCTTCCATTTCCTAATAATTGCTCCCACAGTTGATTTCTTCAAACCAAGCTGCTTACCTATTGCAGATTCAGTCTTCCCAGTCTGGTGCAGGTCTACAATTTTGTTTCTGGTGTCCTTTGACAGCTCTTTGGTCTTGGCCATAGTGGAGTTTGAAGTGTGACTGTTTGAGGTTGTGGACAGGTGTATTTTATACTGATAACAAGTTCAAACAGGTGCCATTAATACAGGTAACGAGTGGAGGACAGAGGAGCCTCTTAAAGAAGAAGTTACAGGTCTGTGAGAGCCAGAAATCTTGCTTGTTTGTAGGTGACCAAATACTTATTTTCCACCATAATTTGCTAATAAATTCATTAAAAATCCTACAATGTGATTTTCTGGATTTTTTTTCCTCAATTTATCTGTCATAGTTGACGTGTACCTATGATGAAAATTACAGGCCTCTCTCATCTTTTTAAGTGGGAGAACTTGCACAATTG